CTACTAGGGAGGCCACCGCTGGTAGGGAGGCCATCGCCCTTAGGTTGCAGGCCATCGCTACTAGGGAGGCCATCGCACCTAGGGAGGCCATCGCTACTAGGCAGGCCATCACTTGCAGTAGCATGCCAGCAAAACCAAACCACTGCAGACTGTTGCAAACCCAGTGTCCGTCTCATCCCAAAGCCAGGTAGTGATGACTGCGTAATTTTCGGGCAGAGGTGCACCCTCCGAATTGTGGTGTGATCCCGGCGCCAAGCTTTCGTCAAACTTAGTGTGACAAGAGTAAACAAGAAACTCGACACATTCCGAACTGCTACACTAAAGATCCTCCGCCCTAGCCCCTCCCACAAAAGAAAACATCAATCGAAACCAAGACAACCAAGCTGGTGACTAGCATTGCCATGGCCTGCTTCTGATGGGCCAGAACGATTTCTGCAACGTTCAGCTTGCACAGTCTCAGAAAGCGTCTGTCGAAGGATTCCTGGGAAGCGCCCGCTTCCAACTGTGTCGCTACCTTTCTTCTACTTGTGTCGTGCCCAAAAATAAAGAAACCGCCTCCATCAAATAAGGCCCCTACTCCCAGCAAAGCTGTCAGCTGCCCTGCATTGTCGTCCGTCAGCCCCACTGTTGTACTCAGGTGTGAAACAGCACGTATGAGGTGGGCAGCTATTGACTGTACATGGGACGCAGCCACTGTGCCCGGCAAAAAGGCTGCCCTCGCCTGCAGGTGTGCCTAAGTCATGGCCACTTGCCAACACAAAACCACATGCAGATACAGAAAATGAGGATCCTACGTCAAGATCTGCTGATGTCAAGGGTGTAGCTGCCATAGCCTCAACCAAATCTGGATAGCACACTACGAGTGTGAGTCTAGAGTCTAGAGCAAAAGCACTTGGTAACATCTGAACTTAGAACCTGGCCTTGTTTTGTCTGAAGGTGGCCTTGCGTTCTCTAGCCACTGCCCTTTTGCAAGCGCGGGCTACATGCGGCCCCGTCCCAACCGCGCGTTGTCTCTTTGTCACAGGCACAGCATCTAGAGGATCCCCCTCCTCTAGACTTTCATCCATTGTCCATGGTGAGTGTCCGGCGCCCCATCGCCAGACTTGAGCCGTGCTAGTGACTGAGGCGGCCTGACATCCACACCTCCCACAAAGCTTCTGGCTCTATGCTTTCTGACAAGCTCGTTTTCTCATGTGTTTTTTTTAAATACTATTTTTGCGATTACTAAAAAAATGTGTTTTTTTTGATTTTGTGTTTTCTAAAATATTGATTTTTCGGGATTTGCATTTCCTAAAAAAATCAGTTTTTTGGCGTTGTGTTTTTTTTTATAAAAGTGTGTTTCTGTTTTTTGATGTTTCTGAAAAGTCTATTTTCTGGGTTTTGCATTTTCTGAAAAGTTCAGTTTCTATGTTTCGTGTTTACTAGAAAAAACATGTTTTTGGTTTTTGTTTTTCCAAAAAGTTGTTTTTATTAGTTTTGTCGTTTCTGAAAAATTAGTTTTTGTAGTTTTTCTGTTTTCTGAAAAGTTGATTTTCTAGCGTTCACCAAAAAACAAAAAATGCATTTTTTCATAGTGAAAAAACAGCGTTCCTTATTTTCTACGTTGTTTGGAGCCAAAAAAAAACTTTTTTGGGTTGTGTGATACCCGGAAAATGATTTTCTAGGTGTCCGGTGAATATGATTTCTGTGTTTTTTCGTATTTTTGTATTTTTTGATGTCTCAAAAATGACAAGTTCTAGATTTTTCTCTTTTCGGATCATCCCAAAGTACCCAAAAACGAGTTTTTCAGGTTTCAGCGATCACCAAGAAAATCACTTTTTCACTTTTGATACTTTTTTGAACATCCTGAAAAGTTCACTTTTCAAGCATCTTCCAGAAAACCTCTCCACAGGCCGAGAATGCCCAATCTAAACCTTGCCTTACCAAATCACGGTTTGAGAGGTCGGGACTCTGCCAAGAGTCTTGAGCACCCAACGCACACCGCGCCTATACTACACCCTTTTTCACGTGCCAAAGGGCCTATATACCAACTGCGCCCCCCCGTCTCTTCTCCCGCCGTTTCCTCCAAGCAGCTTCTAAACGGTCCCAATGCCTCTGCAGGCCCCGGGAGTTCGACAGCGACACCAAGAAGGAGCCTGGCAGAGCTCGAGCTCGTGTGCCGAGCTCCGGACACCCAGGCGATCAAGAAGAACGACCCCCGAGGGTTGGGGTTGGGGGTTAGGGGGTTCACATGGGTTCACCCCAAGAGCAAAATCAGGTTGTTCAGTTTGTTGATTAAAATACATTTGGGGGCAGAAGCGGTTCATCAACATCCATATCCTCAGGATTGCGAAGGCTTCCTCTTTCAGGGCTGGAAGAACCCGGCTCGATGACCGTCGTCGCCTTGTGCCATATGGCCTCGTAGGCGTTGGAGATTCACAGCATCAGTGTGGGAGTGACACACGACCAGCAACATCTGCAGGTAGTCTATCGCGTATTGGGCATCCAGGTAGGTGTCCTCCATGTCATGATGCGTCCTCCTTTCGTCTTCACCATAAAAGATCAGGAAAATCAGATCTGTCAGAAGCCTCAATTGACCTAGGTTGAACGTGCATTCCCGAGAGATTCATAATATGTAGAGAAAAGGTCTTCCACAAAAAGACACCTGAGGGTATCTGGTCCCACATCCATACAGGACCCTTCATGTTCATATACAGTATGTTCATCGTCGTGCCATTCTACTGCTGTCACCCAGGCCACTATAATCCACATATTAAATCACCATTTCTTCGTGGGCCAAAGTGGTTCATTGCAATTGCCGGACACCGAGGCACAATTTGGTTGTTCGTGATCTTGAATCATTGAAACCTCCTCACTAGTCACTAATTGTATCTAATTATATATATACTCTCTGGTTCTGCTAGTTCTGACCTTGCTCAGTGTTCATGCTCTTCCGGTGCCCCATGATCTTCCTCCAATCGGACCCCACAGGTCCCTCCCTGTTTTGCGGCGGGTCCGGTCCTCTTCGTGAACACCGTGCATGATCTGATCCAAGATCTCCAATCCAGCACCCGGCCGGCCACAAAGCAGGTGCACCTTGGCATAGGCTGCCTGAGCAGGACGGCAGGAGGGGGTTGGGAGGCAAGGAAGCCCCAATCAAGCTATCAATTGAAACCATTCGATTCAACACCAAATATATACCGCAAATCAAAGACAAGCTAACATCCTTGTCGAAACCACGGTGCTGGTGTCGTCATAAGCAATAAGCATACTATAAATTCTACAGCCCAAATCACCTGTACCCGGTGTAGCCAGCTTCCTGAGATATAGGACGTCCAGGTCTCTTCGGTCGCCCAAGGTACCAAGGGCACCAGGCCCACAAACTGAGTCAGGGTCTAGGAGTCTAGGAGTGAATCGAGAAAAGGATTGAAGGAAAGGATTCTCAAGGCCATCAGCCAATATTTCAGCACCTCTCCACTCACAGTTCTGTTGCTCCATGATCCCGCATCATCTGCTTACCTGGTGCCTGGAAAAAATACCGCCAGCCCCAGGTGTTAGCCACACCCCTCCGGCCCATCCTGCAAGTCACGTATGCCAGGCCATCTGCAGGTGCAGCCCTGGCCATCTGCGCCCAAAGCTCATCGGCCCGCTGCCAGTCGCGCAGCGTGGCGTCGGCCGAGAGGAGATTCCGGAGGAGCCAGGCAGTGGGCGTCAGGGTCCTGGGCGGCGAGACGAGGCAAAGGGGTTTGGGAAGGACTGCGGAGGGGCCCGGTTTGGAGGTTGCCAAGGATAGGACGTGGTTTCAGCCCCCGGCGTCACTGAAGCACTGCTTTGGTTGCAAAGATCTCTTAAATGCTGCTGAAAAAACAATGATTGGCCTACAGCATCCTATAGCTATATAATCCAAAAGAACTGGACTGATAATTGCACATAGGTCTACCATTCACGAAATGCTTGCACTCCCTTACTCCATCCGAGTCACACATTGCAACCCGTTGGGAACAGGAAATGCTACAAAGGCCCCCCTCACCCTTCCAGGACTTTGCTACCCAGTAGTAGCCAACCATATCAGGCTCTTAGATACTCTCATGTTCCATACCTCAAGGCACTTGAATCGAAACCCTCCAAAACCTCATCCCACCTCCTCTCTGGTCTCCAGAGATCCCAGCGCGGGCGGTATCACCGGGTCCCGCCTCACCATGGCGTCCACCTCCTCATAGCGTTGCTGCAGCTCCAGCAGTCCCAGGCGTTGTTCTGGCAACGTCCCCGAGCTCCAAGCCTCTGGTGGTAGAACTCGTCTGGCCCAGTCCCACCTCAGTCACCACCGGTGCAAGCGCCAACGCGCCGCGCCAAGCGAGGCAGGTTAAACGCGGCGTGGTCGTCGCGGCGAGAGGTGGAAGGAGAGAAAACGGATGGTGAGGTTGGCAGGTGGCACCAGGAGTAATGGGGTTGGTGGCTAAATACGAACCTTTGAAGGTGAGTTGAATCATCAGGGTGGTCGCCATCATCTAAGCTAACCAATCATCATAAGCTCTGCTAAAACAAAGCACTTGCACTCCAATCTTCAACATGATATTGATCTCTCTCTCTCTCTCTCCTCCCCATCTTCCAGGCTGGTCCACCTGTTTATCCACTCACTTACAACTCGAAGCTGCCGAAGTTCCTCTAGGATACCCTGGGTACCGACGCTCCAGCTGATCCGGTCGCGTCGCAGCTGATCCGCCCAGAGGAGAGCTGCCTGCTCGGTGCCCAAAGCCCGGCAAAGCTTGAAGGCAGCACCTCAGGATGGGTGGCCTCCAACAAGTGTACCCCAAGCTCTGAAGGCTCTGAAGGGTGATCTCCCCCCCACAGAAATCCACATCTTTGACTTCATTATGGTCCCCAAAGAAGATAGAAACGGTGTCCATGTTTAGTGGGGATCTACTTTGCTATCTATTTGGGGGTCTATATATGCCTGTGTGATTTTACAGGTGGTGAGGCTCACGCCTCAGCACCGGGAACCTTGGAAACCTTGAAAGCACCAAAACGAACTGGTCCAGCTGCGTTTTGGCACGCACGTGTTTTGAGCATGTCCCGGATGCCAATGCACAAGCCACATAATGACTCGTAATGATCCCCACCATCAAAGATTAGAGGCATGAGATATTCCCGCGATGACTGAAAGACTATGTTTCAGGCACCTACCGGTTACCAAACAGGCGGCGGCATTCGCGCATCTACGAACCATGATTCTTCCAGGGAATGTCGATGGATCCAGGCACCTCCAGGTCTCGGGAGAGCCTTCAACTGTTGAGCTACATGATTCCGACATCTGTTGAATCTGTTGTGTATAAAGCCTCCTTCTGTACCCGAGCTTGGATCAACGGGCGGTGTCCGGAGGAGGGTTTCTCGTCGCAATCGTGCAGTTGCGACGGTGCAGTACCCCGCTGGCTGGAGGAAATGCACCCAGAAACGAAGCCGAACGTCTGGGAACAACCAAAAGGAAATACAGTGGAAGCACATCTTCGTACTGCATCAGGAAATAAAGTAGTTCCTTGATCTCTTTGCAAAAAGATTCAGGACAACCAACGTGTTGGTGGGCTGTTGAGAGCGCTACCTAATCCTTCTGAAAGGGAGAAAGCTCAAAGGGTTTACGTCAAAATGGCTCCGATACCTTGAAGGGTTCCAATAATACAATGAACAATGCCCAGTCGGGTGAAGTGTGGGCCCGGTGGACCCAAGCGCAGCACATCCAAGCTATTCCAAGCTGCTCACCATCGATTTCCCATCCTGCCGGATGCAGGAGCATCAAGCTGTACAAAAGAATGGGCTTTGATATTTGGGGCCGAGGATTGCCTGGCTTAGTCCTGTCATGTTGCTGAAACGGTGGCTTTCGTTCACGGCTCTGTCCCATCTCTGCGACCCTCAGCTCAGCCACCCCAGCCCCCCACCCACCGCCTCCAGCGTGTCCACTGGCGGCGTCCAGACCTCCACAGCCAGCCGCAGCACCTCGGACCCCCCTGCCATGGCCAGCGCTGGCCAGTGCCAGCAAGACCGTCCGTTGCTGCGCTGGGCTCAGGGAGAGGCCGCGAGAGGCCTGGCAGAAGAAGGCGCGAGGGCAGGCCACCGGCAAGAATTGGGAGCATGGTGACATCCAGCATCCCACGGCATCCTCGGCTTGGTGCACCACCTAATTTCACCTAATTTTCATGACATGTTTTGAGGGGAACATCCATGGTGCCATCATCGCCCACCTTTAAAACGCTCCTTTTTCTTCTCGCTTCCCGCGTCAGCTCGGGGGGGCCGAGGGCGCTGCGGCGGGCCAGAGGTGGAATTGGCCATCGAGGTTCGTCCCCTGGTTACGCAAGCTCCAGGAACCACGGATGCCAGACACGTGGCCCAGCTGCTGCCCTGGGCGCCAAAAACGAGGACAAAAGAACATGCATGGATAGGCATAAGGTCTCCTTTATAAACCTAGAATCTAGAACCTGGGTGACCCCTGTTTGAGAGCCCCAACAAGATCTTGTCCTATCAAGACAGGAGAGGTCAAACTTGGGGTTTCGAGAGTCAAATGGCCGGAGAACATGTGGGGCGAAATCTTTGGAAAGCCAAACGCCACCTGTCCCCCCAAATCGATGAAAATCGACTCTAAGTCAGTCAAGGTGTCCCTCGTACTTCACTGAATGACCTTCATTGTCTGGGTTCCTTTGACCGCGATCATTGCGACTTCCCTTCACGTACTTCTTCACGAAAGAGATGCGGTCTCCTGACCCGACCACGGCGGGAGGCTCCAGCTTCTTCGGACAGTCGCGGACTCGAATCCATCGATGCGGTGAACTGGTTTTTTTAAACGTAGTTTTCAGAGGTTCGATGGCACAAGTCACCCCAAGGCTAGGTGGTTTAGAAGGACCCCCATATAAGAGACATCTTTGGGTGCCAGCGCCATCCACTCTGAAGCCACTAGAAGTGCTAATCTGTTAATAAAGTCACAGTTCAAACGGTGAACTGAAAAAGGTCTCCACATCATCTCCTTGATATCTGCCTTGGATGCTGTAGACCCCACATCATCCAAGCCATCACCCTGAACGACTCCATCTTCAAACTTCAGGTTGAACTCCACCTTGTGTTTCAGCCCATCCGATCCACTGTAATGTCCTTTCCAAAGTCCCGTGGGCAGCTCCACCCCAGCCCCAGTGGCTGGATTCTGCACGAAGGAGTCGGTCATGGCAATGCCCGAATTCATGCGATCGATCTCGGGCTCGCGCGCCTCGCGCCGGGCGTTGGAGGTGGCCCAGGCCAGGACGCCCACGATGGTGCCCAGCATGATGACCATGGCCCCACCGGCGACCCAGGTGCGACAACTCCCTTCACAGGGAATTCCACCACCATCACCATCACCGCCACCACGGCTGTCGAAACGCCGGCGGGAGTCGTAGGAGTGAGGATAGGAGTGGGGGTGGTAGCCGCCACCACCCGAACGGCGGCGAGGAGAGCCTTGCGCCACACCCACGCTCAACAGGCTCAGGAAGATCAAGCAACGAAGCATCATCTGAAATGTGGGCCCAAGCATGCCCAAGTCGATGCCAAAATGACAAGTCTGACAAGGAAGAAGTAGTTCACATAAATTACCCATGTGATAATTGTATATATGCATGAAATCATCATACTGTAACTCATCTGATTTACATTTCACATCAAAGATCTTCATGTCTGTCCAAATACCATCCTCCTTGACCCACTGCGACCGTCCGCACGGATGCCCGACGTGCGGCCGCGGTCTAGGCGCGAGAAGGGGCATGACAAGCTGTCCCTAGGGATCCAGTCGTACCTTCTCAGGTTTGGTGATTGGAGACTATTTATGTAGCCTTCAAGGGCCCAAGTGGCCCGAGTAGCTCCTGAGAAGGTATGTGGATCCCTAGGGTGTGATCATGTGCCAGCTTCTTCCGAGTGACCTTTTTTTTGGAGTCCCTAAGTGACCTATACAGGCCGGCCTAAGTGACCCATATCCACGGGGGACCAAGTGGAGGAAGTTAAGCTTCCACTGGCAGCGTCCAATGCCACGCTGAAGAGACTATGACTCTATATGCAAAAACCGACGGCACTCACTCTGAGGCCAGATGGAATCACAATGGCCCCGTGTGAGGGGTCTTGCGATTCTAAAAAAATGCAGAATTTGGACACACATGTGGCATGCGGCATATCCCATTCCCTGCGCCCAGTGGATGATGCTTACGTTTTCAGACCTTTCGCACAAGTGTCAGCAGCCAACAGAATCCGGTTTGCAAACATGTGCGCTTCTAGTTACTCAAGCCAAAACACATCAAGAGCTCGTGTCAAGCCTGTAGCTGTACAATCTCCAACCCTGCGCTGAAACAAAACGAACCTGACAATTAGAGTTGTTTTTCAGCTCTAGAGATGATTTGTCCTCACGTTTTGAAAACAACATTCATTACCCCTCACCCCTCCCTGAATGTTGCAGAGCTATCTGCTGAATTGCCGTTGCCCCTTCACGAGCGCTCGCCTCGATGACCTCCACGAGCTGCTCCCACCAGCGCGCTTCCCCGCAGCGCTGTGCCGCCGTGGCCACCAGGGCACCGTTCAACCAGCGCTTCTGCCGGTGGCGCTGGTTGAAGGCTGGACCCGCTGGGTGGGTGCTGTGGTAAAGGGCACAAGTTGTTTGGGTTTTTGGACAGCAATCAGTATGAGTGTTCGTTCTATCTGTTTGGTGTCACTCTTGGTACTTCGAGAAGAACATAGATTTAACATACTAAAAAAAGGATCTCAGAGATAATGCTCACAGAACAATTCGACTCCCACCTCGGCCCGGCCCATCCGCCATTCCGGTCCCACCCCGCATGGCGCCGCGCGCCTCCTGGGCCTGGCGCAGCGCCCGCCGCAGCGCCTGGGGCGACGGGGCGCTGCGGAGCTGGGAGTCGAGGAGCGCGACGGGGCGCTGCGGAGCAAGGCTCTCGGAGGCCCTGCGGCTCCTGGAGGAGCAAAAAGGATGGATGGGATGGATATGTGGATGTAGAGATATAGAGATATAGAATATGATATAGATATATGGATATGGAATGGATGGGTGGATGGATGGAGGGGTTTTAGATGCGAGAGATGTTTGATGATTTTTGATTGACCGGCTACAAGCTACTCAAAAAGAAAGAGGCGTTCACCAACCCAACCGATCAGGACTTGGGATGCCTCTGGAAGATGTTGTTCTGTGTCAAACAAAACTGCATCTTTGATACTAATCCAGTCTGCATCCTTTCAAGCCCTTCGCCATGGGATCTTCGTCAGCACAAGCAGCAGTGCTGTCGACAAAATGGGATCTTCAAGGCCAATTTGGCCTTTAGGAGGTGGCAAAGGTGGGGTGGATGGTGATCCTCATGCCACGAAACCACCTGGATCCACCTCCCCTCCATGCGGTAGGGCACCCTAAGAAGTCCCTGGGTCCGGCCACCGATCCCAGCGCCTCTCCGGGAAGAGAGCCTCGAAGCTCTTTGAGGGATCGTCCAAGGACTTCCAGGCGTCCTGAGGGTCCAAACCGATGGTCCGATGTGCACAGCCCTGTGCCGATGGGTCATGGGCCAGGTGCCATGAAAACCCGTAGAGAGAGCCATGTGTGGTCAACAGCCATGTCACAGCCCATGCTTGGGAACGAGGTGGCTGCGCGCCGAAAGCCTCCCGAAACGCTTTGGCTTCTCTTTGGGTTCGGCGTCGGGCACCACGAACGCTCCGGGTACCGCGAGCTCCTTGAAGGCACCACGGCCCAAGCAACAGCCGGCGGCCTGTGCGGCGCTAGACCACCAGGCTCGGTGGCAAAAACGGCTCTGTGGGTGAAAAGTGAAAAGCACAATGAGCCGAAGACGTCCGAGTCCAATGGGTGACCTCTCTGGAGATCTATTTGGGGCTGTAAATTGGCCACTGGAAGCAACTGGTATAAAAAGGGAGACCTCCCAAAGATCTCCCTTTAAGGGAACAAAGCAAAACGCAATTGAAAAAATTGGTCTCCCATGGTCTCCCTGTTGTTGATGTCTTTTGTGCTTGGGTGACCATCATGGCTTCTCTTCCATGATGGTCCGAGTCGAACAACGGGCCCCCCGTCAAAACATCAGAAACGGATCGCAAAATCCGGATGTTCAAGAGTTTGCCCGGCACAAGCAGGGGGCGCGGGCTGAGTCTCCTTGCAGCTCTGTGCCGACAAGCAGCTGCCAACAGCAGGTGCTCTCGCAGGTCTCTGGAGCTTCCAGCCACGCAGGCCTGATAACAACAGCTCATGTCCATTTAGCATTGTAGTTGCCGGTTGCCATTAGAGGCACAAATCAAGTCTTCCCAGAAACCATTTCAACTTCCATTGTTGGGAGGCCGTTCCCCTCACTGTAAGACCAACCCACTTGAATGGCAGTTGACCCATTTTCCACCAACTCATCGAGTCGGTTCCGGAACTCCATTCCGGTCCTTGAAAAGAGTGCACTCTGGAGTCGCTTGTGAACCCCAGAGCCTAGTCACCAAGTCGCTGGCTTTTGGAGCTACTAGCTACAGTATGTAAGACTGAGTAAGACTGAATTCGTCTCAAATTGGATCCCAACGAGAGCGGGAGGTCAGGTCAAAACTTGGAGTTGTACTCCGGAAGATTCTTCGACCTCTAGACTCTAATTTCTGGCCTTCTTTCTCAGGCCTCGGCAGCCTGACAAACTCCTCCCTGCGTGTCTTCCAGCAAGGGCTTGGTCAAAGCTTGCTGGGCCACATGAGGCAAGATGTCCCCGGCTCTGGCATTGCGAGCATGGGAATACTTCACCATGGCTTCAATGACAGTGGTCGTAACTTCGATGATCACGAGGATTTTCTTCCACAACTCGAAGGTTCCCTTGTCAGCCCCGATGACCTTGACGCAGTAGACAAAGAATTTCCCGCCCACATCCATGAACAAACTCAACTGGCAGGCCCAACGAAGACGTTCGTCCAGCTCTGATGTTTCTGGAAATGGCCAGAATGTAGAAGGTCACCAGCCAGCCCACCCCGAGAAGAACGTAGGAAGCGATCGAACAATATGTGTATGAATCCGAAATGGTGAAGGTGAACACCGTGAAGGTCATCATGGACCACCCTGCAAGCACTGCACAGGATCCACCGAAGGCAACCACAGATCTGGATTGACACAAAGATGAGAACTAACACCTGCTCGTTTCTTTTCCATGCATCCATTGTGGAATCCATGAACATCATGAGAGGGAAGAAGGCCTGGCGATAAAGCACGGTTCCAACAAAGAAGTAGGTCCAAACATCACGGAGTTTCCCACACATCATGCGCTCCAAACCAAAGGTCATCATAAGCCAATCAGCCCCGAAAACCAGGATGGCTGCATAACAAGGAACATAACAATGTCCAGCGTTTTCATAGGTTGGATCTAAGAATAAAATCAGATCACAGTGTCCAGAAAGCGTGAGGACCGCAAGAATCAACCCCCCCCACCAAGGCTACCCCAACGCCCGCTGCTAACGATTGGTGGAGAAAGCACCATGCGGTAGCTTGAATTCCAACATAAAGCAGATGCTGGAATCCAATCACGCCGACATCAAAATCCAAAGACGAGCAGACGAACCCGTCGAACCAGAGTCCGAACGGGATGACCAGAAATTCACAATTCATCAAAAAACCGCCAGTCACAAGTGCACACACGACCATTCTTGCCAAGTCAAACTCACTCTGCAAGCTAGCCATGGAGGGTAAGTTCTGGGCAAACCCCTCGAATATTTCGGAGAATTTCAAAGCTAAATAGCACCTAATCTCTGAACCCAAGCTCTCGGCGTCGCGGCGTAGGTCTCACAGAATGAAAAACAGAATTTGAGCTCACATCTATACTTACACGGCCCATACTTATAACTTATAACCTACGTAAGTTATACACTGTTGTATAAGTCTTGTGATAGTTAGGGGGTTCACCTTTAGGAGAACTGGCGCACTCTGGACGATTCGGGGAGCAAATGTCCAATTTCCCCAAAACGATCACTCAGGTCTTGCCGATCTCCTCCTCACGACTATCAATGGTAGTTTGTGAACACTGCTCTAGCAGCTTCAAAAGCTAATGGCGCAAACCCAGTTGCAAAATTTACAGTACAGTATCTGAAGATGGGGGCATCCATGCAAACCACCTGGCTGTGAAGCTTCGGCCCTCTCTAATTACATGTGGGATCGCACTACAGAAAGGAGTCTTGCCCTATCTATTCTCAGCTGACCCACTGCACATTCCACTGGAAAGTCCACTCCACCTCCCCGGCCTTGGCCCTCCGCGCCACGCTCGGCCGCGGCAGCGCGTGGCGTAGCACCGGGGCGCGGAGCGGGGGGCGGCTCGGCTGCATGGCATCGTTTCCGATCGGCGACGAGCGGGTGGTCTTTGGCTACACTTGCAGCAAGGGCCTCAGTAGGGGTTGCCATGCTATTGCCAAAGTCAAGTGTACGTTCCGAAAAACCTGATAGAGCTACTGCAAGATGATTGGTTCCGCGCAAGTATCTCAACCAAACATGCATTGTGGATTGTCTGTTGAAGATTTCGTGCTTCGAAAAATCAGGTCAAGGTGCGTACACCCCGCTTTTGCCGATATAAAGCCAACAGCGTGTGTTGTTTTTGTTTTTGCCTCAGGACACTTCAGGAATGGGGTTGGGTGGGTAGTTCAATGACGGGTCTTGTAATATAGTTCTTGAATGTTGATTGCCTTGTGCAAGTACAACCTGAACCATTCCTTGTCGCTGTGGGCGTAGGCTTACCCTAAGCACGACAAACGCTGCGCACAATCGAGTGCGGACGTTGCTCGCTTGTTGGCCAAGCAGATTAGCCCCTGTACTCAAGAACCGCTGAAAGCGGGAGCTTCTCATTTTGACGATATAATATGTATTTCTGGGATAGTTCTGGCGATTGAACCAGCATACTGTACTTGCATACCTGTCTCCCACAACGGACACCACACCGGCCGCCTGAGCCCCCCGCACGGCCGCTCCGGTCCTTGAGCCGGAGCGCTTCGACAGTCAGCTAGACACGCCGCTTTTGTGACAAATCAAACATCCCATGATAATCATGATAGCATGGGTGGAGCCATCTTTGACAAATCCAGACCTCTCTCCATCCGATTCGTCAAACAAACCTTGACATGTCCACCATGGCCTTTCCCTTTAAAATGGAGACTGCCAGTGTAAGAGCCAAGGAACGGCACTAGAACGACCGCTATCAAAGGAAAGCAAAATGATGCGAATGGAATCGTCCTAGTCTAGAAGTGGTTTCCATGTTTGGCCAAGCTTAGATTGAGCAATGTCATTTGGAAAAGCAATATGCTCTTTTAGAGAGATGAGATCTTGGGTGGGGTTTCAACTTCCAAAGTTCACCGCAAGAAAAGAAGAAGCAGCTCGTCTCGGCATGTTTCCACAACAGTTGCTTTCGCAGAGCGAAGGACACCTGTGGAGCATGATCTCAAAATGATGCTCCATGTAACATTAACCACCGAGGCCCCAAAACCTGCTGAAAAAATCTTCCAAACGGCGGAACCTGCGGATCCGTCAGCACACAGCTGCATGAGAACAACTCCTCCAGTTTCAGCCCACCCCTTGGTGGTTCCCACCCTTTGGTGTCCTGACCGTGGAATCCAGTTTGGCGCCATGCCACCATGGCCAAAGGAGGCTTCACTGCGCTCTTGTGCTTAAACTAAGCTGTTGAACCTCTTGTCGCTGCACCCTGCACCCTCGTTCAACACCGGCTTATAATCGGCACTAATTACTTGGAAATGCCTGATCTGCCTCCCACCCACAACAAAAAGAAGAAAAACAATAGTTGGGTGCGCTGAGAGACATCTACAACTGCTAAGCAACATCTGTTCGCGGACATTGGTGCCCTACAGCTTGAGCTACCCAGCGGAAGCTGCAAGACATGTTTGCATGATATGACCCCCTCACAACGCCTGGGAATCCGCGAACATCGGCGCAGGACAGTTCAAAACACTATGCGAAACATCTGCGAACGACACTGCCGCTCAGAACTCTCAGAACATCTTAGCTGTATCTACCTGCACGTGGATCTAGTACATGGAGAGTTGCGCGGAAGCTGGCCTCTATTCCAGCAGCCGAAAAACCAAGAGAAAAGACCATGATCATGGAGGCCCTCTTGTGAGCAGAACCTTTTGGAGTTCCTCTGGTTCTTTGGCAAGACTCGAATTAGGTCCTGCACTGTTCAAATTTGGTTTCGTCCTACAACTGCCATCAACTAACCACCTGCAACACTCACGATTCAGTTTAGGATTCTTTATTGGGACATTAACTTCCCACTTGGCCCTGGCGAGCCTTGCACCTTCCCACCACTCCCCCAAACGTTCCTTTCGGCACCTGCGGGCTTCAAAAAGGAAGGAGTTGTCCCGATTGGGGGCGTCTCGGTGCGTCTGACCGAAACCGTCCCTCTTCTTGAGCCCGTCGCGACGGTCGTCGCCGTTGTCGCTGTCTATGTCGCCGTCGTCCGGGTGGCATCAAAATAGGCTGCGGAGTCGTTGCGGTCGTTAGTTCAGCCTTCACAACTGCATGGCAGTCTGCATGGCCACCGGCTCCTTGAATTCCTGAATTCCCAGTTCAGCTCTCCTTTAAACATGCCCAGGGAAACAACAAAGTTTCGGCACAAAATCGCAAGTTCTGCTTTCCAAGACTAAGCCATGGCCTCTACTGATTCTACAGGCGAAAGGATGGCGACTTATGAGAGTTTGAGAGCTCCTTGGACTTCAGGCATTTCTCCTCACGAGTAGTTCGACTTGCAAGAGTTCGCTGTACATCACTCAAAACATTTTTTGCGCTGTTCATCATGTAGGCTCCAAATTAGGCATTTCCGGGTTGGGCCATCGGTTTAAACACAATTCATCTAAGAAATATGTAGAAATGAAGTTCGCCTCTCAACCGAGTAGACATTCAAACACTGTAGAGTATGGATATCAAGGATTCATTGTATTTCATCCAGCAGTCACGTTCGACCGGGTGCTATCCATAGAGGAAGTCGGGGTGCCCAGATATCCACTCACTGGATGGGACATTCAACACCACCCCTCAATTTGTGACACCTGGATTGTATTCTCCATTCATGGCCCTTCATGAGCTTCACCTGTGGTCTCGCTTCTCTGCCCAACCCATGATAGCCACTCGTCACGCTTCGCGTGGACGTGAGGTTCGCCCGCAAACAGCTTCTCGCATTGCATGGCTGGGGATGAGGTGTGGCCCAACGTCCAATCATCTGACCTGTTGTGATGCAACTTATGAAGGTTGATAATTAATTAGGATTAATTAGGAGACCCCCGGCCCCAGGCCTGCACTGTCCATCTACCTCTCACTCCTCCCCATCTTCTTCCCTCCATCTACAGCATCTACACACACACCCGGGACTGCACCAGCCCCACCACCGCGCCCTCTTTCCGCTCGCGCCGCCCAGACGGGCCGCTCTAAACGGTGCAGCTCTTGCGGACCAAGTCGGCCGTGTTGAGCAAGCTGGGCAGGTGCATCGAGCTGGGAGCCGAGGCCAAGCTGAGACCGCCGGGACGCGCCAACTGCCGCAAGCGCAAGACCTCATAGACGTTCTCCTGAGGTGACTGAGGCGGAGGACGTAAGTGGCTGAGGACTAGGTGAGGTCGAAATCTGGGGTGAGGTTTTTGTTGAGGTTCCAGGTCTTACACTGCTGAGACTGGAATGGTTTTGGCAGTGTGGCAAGGCAGGAGCTGGAAGAACATGTCAAAAGGGCTTGCATGTCTTCACAGGTTTAGGTTAATGCTTGATGAGCAAACATCATCATCAACCAAAAGCCCCTAAAAGACCCTTGATAGACCGCCGTCACATGGTCTACCACGATAGACACCGTCTCGGCCCAACCTCTACCCGCGCCGAAGGATCCATTTGCACCGAGTGGCCAACGCCAGGCAAAGTTGAAAGAAGATCAGCACCAAAATGGGCGCCCAGGCCTGACCAGGGGATCTCGGTGGAAGGGGGTTCATGCGCAGGCAGCACTTTGGGGATGGGCTGGGCAGGCCTGACCAGGGGGACTCATGTGGAGAACATCATTCTCGGTGGAAGGGGGATTCATGTGCATTCAGCACTTTGGGGATGGGCTGGGCGAAAATGGGGGGGGCACACCTGTGCTTGGAGGAATGCAGGATCCGGGGTTACCCCTCAACTCCTGAAGGGGAGAGGAAGGGAGCCCACGTGGCCTGAAAGTAGGGCACAAACTCAATGTAGAAGAAGATCATGCTCAGATGGCCCAAGGAGGATATGATCCCCACATACACCTCAGAGCGTGCTCCGGAGGACCACCGGTCAGGTGATGCATGGATGTGCTCCACGAGGTTTCCCGGCACTTGGCTCATGCATGTCATGGATGGTCACCAAGAACCAACCAGAGGTGTTTGGGAGACGCAGGGAGTCAGGGACCTCAAGCTCCACACTACACGGTCTTGCATGTCGCCTCCCTCTGCACGTACCAAAACCAAAAAAAAAAAACCAAAAAAAACATAAAACGCTCAAACCAACCAGGACCATCCTGTCGGGGTGTCCTGGCTGGACTACCCCACACTACCCTACTAGGCTTCCAGACAGGGCACCCCGACAGGATGGTCCAGGGAGGTTGTTTTTAATTGTTGTTTTTCACACCTGATCCACGACTGTAGGATCGATCGCGGCAAGCCACTGACATCCACTTCAGGCAGCACGAGCCCACAAACCGTCCCTGCATGTGGAAACGGCATAGGGTGAAATAGGCCTCGGCCCGTCGCGGCCAGCTGCAAGCCCCCAAAAAGGAGGTGGGGCGAACCACCGGCGCGGCCAGTTGCAACCAGTGTAGAGAACGGTTGAAGCTCACAAAAACAAAGCAAAACGACATCAGGCAAAGAGAAAAAGAGATGATCCATCTTTTGATTGAAAACATCTACAAAAAGCCGCACCGATCCACCAAACTGCCGTATCTCTTGGAATCTCGGCCCCTCCCCAAGTTAAGCCCAAACATTCTGTGGACTCTTTGATTTACTATAGAAGAAACTGCCACATGGAAAAGGTTTTACATGGTTTTACCATCCCATATCTGAGGGTTTTTTTATCAATCCAAACAGTCTGGATATGCCGTTCTCTGTGTTAACACCTGCCAGGCTTTCCACGACCTCTGCAGTCACCGAGGTGCCACCGCATTCAGGGACTGGAAGCTCAGGTACAAGAGCGGCGCCGTGGCGAAGAGCGGCAAGTCGTAGTGGTTAATCCAAGGGATTCCACTCAGGAGGCAAATGCCAATCCTCGGCTTTCTCCACGGAATGGAATCTTGATGGAGCCAGGAGAAGGGGACAAAAAGGGGGAGTGAATGAAAATAAGGAAAGTGAGAAGAGAGTCCAGTTCCTTTTCAACCAGCTTGAGGCAGAGAGTCCAGGATCCTTCGTTGAGACCTTTTCAGATTTGAAGCGGGGGAGTTGTGTTGATTCAGGTCTTCTGGTGAATTTCGCGTGGCCAGCTTCCTTTTTCAGTGAGAGGCATCCTGGTTGAGTTGAGTATGTTGAGATGTGCTCAAAAGTGTCTTTTCATGAGTTTGGAGTTGCTTCTAGCTTCCAGCTCTTCATTCGGCCTGTTCAATCCAGTCGGATGAATCCCTGGATGAGTTCTTGCACACAGGAAACCCATGGAAACCCGCTTGCGGAGGATGGAATGATTTGCCAATTGCTCTTCAAATCCCTTGGGGCATTGCTCCTTCTTCTTGAACGTGATGTTCTTCGTGAAGGCTCACATGGCTCGACCAAACTGCCCGACAAAAAAATCCTCCGAGCTTCAGGACGGCCACATGATGCAAGGTCCTCCGTCCAAAACGCCACGCAAGGAGACGAGCACCGTGAGGAAAAACGGCTTGAAACCCTCCAAACAAATAGGGACAACAACAATATCTAAACACACATCTAAACACTAGATGGAACGTTTACAAGCATTCCATCTTTCATCGCTCTTGTTTCTCTCCTCTGCTAGGTTCTCAGGTGTTCCTTTTTTGTCTTCTGGATTTGCATCTCTGCCCAACACACCACCGGCACTCACGTCCTGCGCAACCTCAGCGGGCTCTGCACCAGGTCCACGATCATCAACGCGCACAGCACCGCCAAGGCCCAGCGGAAGAGCCTCGAGGCGGCGCGGCGGCGGTCGGTCGGAGACCGGCGAGGGGTCGGAGACCGGCGAGGGATGAACAGCATTTAGGTGAGGTGACGCATCGATGTGGCTGGGATGATTCCTATGGACGAAGGTGGGAAGCTTTTCCTGATAGAGGTGTTAAATCATGTTTTATCATGAAGTCACCCATTGGTTGAGACTCTGGAAGGTTGAGGGCTGTAACTAGGTGGATTCATGATCAAAAGGGAGGAATGCAGAATTGTGCAGACGTTCGAAAACATCCCTCTCCGCAGCCTCCAGTCTGAGTGCATTAAGACCACCAGCATGTCCTTAGGCTGGAAGAAGCAGTACAGGATGTGGATGGTCATGGGCCAGACCTCCGGCCATGTTCACTTCCAAGCGTCATGGAGCTCAAGGGATAAAGAGAACGAAAGCTCGAGAATCATTTTAGATAAACTTTTGCACGTTAGCTATATTACCAAAAGTTGTTCCCCTCCTCACCCATGACCACATCTCCAAACTCACACAACTTCAATCAACTTCACCTGCACCGATCTTCCAGTCCCACATCCCAAATTTCCATCCAACCACTCTGAAATCCCCGACGCCCTACCCCCGCCCTCCAACTCCATCGCCCCACGACAGTCCGTTCTCGGGCACTGCCCAAAAAACATCGGCCGATCGATGCCGCGCCAGGAAGAGCACTTCCACGTAAGTCACCGCGTGCACGAAGTAGGCCGCAGCCTTGAAGTGCCTGACCGGCTCGATGCCCTTCTCCTGCCGCTTTCGCGGTGCGCGCGCGCAAACACCGGCTCGGCCGAGGTTTCGGGGAGGAGGTTTGGGGGCCATGGAGGGCAGGAGCGGGATGAGGGCAGTTTCTATCAAGTGAACTAGGTGCTGCAAGTGGAATAGGCGCGCTGTTGATGTTTCGAATGTCCTCTTTCATCCTTATTCCAATGATGACACGACGTGCAACGAGTCAAAACTACCCACTTCATCAGATGGCACGTGGTTGGCTCGGAGCGACTCGTTTCTCCATCAGTGCGCGGAGAATGAGACGCGCGCCTGAGCACGCGCCTTGGTGGCATGCAGAAATGCCGCCTCGGTGCGCGAACGGAAGGAGAGCGACTTGAAAAGGATCAAGGGGAGCACCATCAGGACAGGGAGATTGATGGAGGATCCATCAAATGCTTCTTGTTGCCGGCAGAATGATGTGGTTGATGTGTCAATCATCATTGCTTCTATAGAAAGAGTGCAAAGGACCGTGTCTTGAACCGCACCCTATCTAAGAGCCTTCAAGCCTTTCACCCCACAAAAAACCTATCGTGAGCACTATCTGCCATTCAACCCATCAGGCACATCATGTCATCCCAAAGGGGCACATCATGGCACATCCACTCCTTAACCCCCCCAAAAATCTTCCATCCAGCTCCGCCTGCAAAAGTCTCACCGCCACGGGGTAGAGGATACAGCCTGCACCGATGAACGGCGATGAATGGCTGAGCTCAGCCGTGCCACCCGAAGACTCGCAGCGCCCCACGGGCAACCGGCCCCGCCTACGAACCAATGGCTGAGCTCAACCTTCGCCAAGGGGTGGATGGAGACCTGGCAGTCGCCCGTCGCCCTCATCTGTCCAAACAAACCAGGCGTCCAAGTTAAATTTACGGATTTCCCAGGGTTCTGAAGACCAAAGACAGTTAGTTGAGTTTGTTGTGGTGCAATTGTTTTTCTTGATCTACATCGAACATGACCCATCACCTGAAAGGGCTTACACAAACACATACCATGAACGTCCATGAACCAACGAACCCAAAGTAGGCTCAAGCCCAATATGCCTTCTGACTTGATCATGTCCAAGTAGAGCTTTCAGAATCCTAGAGGTTCTAGAGTCCAAGTCGGGCCGCCCAGGCCATGTCTTTGGACTTCCAAAGGCAAAGCGCGCTCACCTGGAAGTCCCTCCCCAATGGTGTTCGACCACCTCCCATCCTCATCCATCACTCATCCGAGTCGCGAATGGCTTGGGCTCCGAGGGCGTGGGCCAAACCAACGAGTGCGGCAGATGCTCCATGGCCGTGAAAAGCACGGCCGTCGCGCCGGTCCAACAAAAGGCCTTGAGCCTCCCAAAGAAGCAGCCGCAAAAACCGCCCTGCCGTGCCTTTGCTTGAGGAATGATGTGAATGATGATGCAGTGATGCATGCAATATGCATGCCTAACTTTCCACACACCAATGGAGAACATGGGGAAGGAAAAGACCTTTAGCAGCCTCTTGGGAAAGCTTGGAAGGCGCCAGGTGGCGAGGGCTTCGCGTGGCGAGCCCGGCTTCGCACAGCGAGCCTCCAAGAATCTTCCAAGAAGTGCACAGTACCTTCTTAGGCATCACGTTGCTTCCCGTTGTACAGACTGGCTTAAACAAAACAAAGGGACCCTAAACGAGCATCCAAACAAATTGACCCCAACAGGCTTTAGACCCCCGCCGCTACCCTCCTTTTTGTTCCACTTCCCAAGCTCCGTCACCCAGAACAGCCCGCCGTCCCTTTTTCACCTCCACCGGCGGCCATCCTGAAAGCATCAGCGGCCCAACATGGTCTTCATCTGACTTCCGGCCAGGGGATGCCAGGGGGCCTCGCTTTCAGCGTTACGCTCCTTGGAATGACTGGATCAAAGACCTACGCAGTCCAGCCACATCCCGAGGATCTGTGCTGGAAATGTTTCCAGACCTCACCGGCTTCCGCCGTCCACCACCATCTCCGTCTGCTCTCCACCACGACCTCCGTCTGCTGGACGCCTGCTCCTCCTCCTTCCACCGCGCCCCTCACGTCACACCCCACGTGACCGCGCAGCACGGTCCGCCCAGTGGAGCCGCTCTCGACCGAACCACCCTGGCCGCTGCCGGCGGAGTGGTCGCGCAGCGGCACGCGGAAATCTGCGCTGGGGCCGGGCCACAGGGCTCAGCTGGGCCTCAGCTTCACTCAGCTTGGCCTCGGGAGGGATGGGAAGAAGCGTTTGACGGGCGAGTTGTGCAAAGGGATGTCGTGAGAAGTTCAAGGGATTTTTGAGATTGGGGGCGATGTGCACCTATTCGTCTGGATGTTCAGGTGTCCCTTTTGGATTTGTTGGATCTTCTCCATGGACTCCATGGTGGGATGGATGTTCGTCTGCACACGACCCTGGTCTGCCACGGCTTCTCTTTTTGGAATCCTTTTTGCGTTGTTGGTGCACCGCCCGCCGCTGCCCTGCACTGCCGAGAATGGCCTCCATAGCAAGGTCAACAACCAAAAGCTTCAGAAAACAAAGTCCTAACTCCTAACCTAACCACCGCAAACTGATGCTCATGATCTCCCAAGCAACTCCTCCTTTCAGAACCCTTCATGCGTTGGCCAAAGGCGCCATCCTCAAGAATGGCTGCCAACATCTGCCAATCTGTAAGCACCCGAACCCCGGCTGGAGAAAGCCCCCACCACAAGCAGCCCTCCAACCTATATAATAGCTATGGCCCCCCCCCTAAGAGATCTAAAAGCGATGGCCTCCAACCTAAGAGCGGTTAACTGTTCAACTGCGCCATCCCTATCCTTCTCGACTCCCATCTCCGCTCTTGCAGTGCATGGGCAGCGCGCTTACGAGCGCAAACAACGACCCCATCGGCGCGCGACGCCGTCAGTCAGAGGTCGGGTGACAAGTGTGGGAGGAGCTGTCCAGGCCGCAAGCCTAGCCTGGAGGATTCAACCCTCAAGTGATGTAACACTCAAGAGTTGATATATGGTCCGAATGACTTACTATATGAGCTCCCAAGTTCCTGGAGACATGGCCTATGTTTACCATCATTCGGTATGTTTCGGTGTCCTTCCCTCTGGCTGAGGCCGATACAGCCAACCGGTTGCCGGAGGCGAAAACAGTGAGACATGCCGGCTGCGGTGTCCAGCATGAGAAGCACGTGAAGCACGTCGATCGATTAGTCGGCCCATGGCTGCTCTTCTGCCTCTTATTGGCACACTTGGCACCAAGGTTCGTGGGGTCGGCAGGGCCTTCCGAATACTCCGAATAGACTCAATAGACTCCGCAATCCGAATTGCGACAATCTGGGTTTCCACCATCGATTTGTAGCTGAAGGTCTACATGGATACATTTGCACCATTATTAATGAGCTACTCCAGGAGCTAGCATATGTAACTTATAGGCTTCCCCTCTGAGAGCCAAAACCAACTGCCCCAAAGAACCTTTCTGGATTGAAATTGTATTTTGCATCCGTTCCTTGTGGTCTGGTTATGGGTGTTTTCTTGCTGGGCACCCAACTCAGCGCTGGGGTGCGCGATGGCATGCACGATGGCTGTGGCGCGTATGGGAACCATGGAAGAGTTGGGCGGACATGGTCAAACCATCTCATGAAAAATGTTGTAGAGGAAATTCAGCAGCCAGGTAGTGAATGCCTTGCTTGAAAAGAAACTTCTCCTCCTGACTTCTTCCCTCCACAAAACCCATCACGCACTCATGCCACCACCTTCGGAGCAAGTCCCAGTGGCGCTCACTCCAAAAGCTGGCCATTCGACCAAAACCCCTCATGCACCGTGCCATTAGCTTCAGTGAGAATGCCGAAGCCGTCCTTCTGGTCGAAGCGGTACTTCCCACAGTACCTCAGCCACCGACGCTTTGGACAGAGCGCTTCATGTCGGCTCTTCAGTCGGGTGTGGATTGCCAGGGGTGGGCATAGCAAGCCAAACATGAGATCTCGGCTGAAGGGAGAGAGAGAGAGAGAGAGAGAGGTGGTTCGTCTTGCGTGCCAGAAAGCGGTGCTTTCACAATTGGGTCATCCAGTAGCGTGTCTGGGAAGCTTAGTCAACAAAGAGTGGGTCCAACTGTCCGTTTGAACAGTTTCTGCGTGTCAATTCTTCGGGTAGACTTCGGTGGTGCCAACAATGTCCAACAACGCATGAAACACAAATCTTTACCAAAAAAGGATATGCTGATCTTGAACATAAAAGATCAAAAATACACGCAGATCATACAACAGCCCAAAGAATCCCCACCGCGCCAGGTGAGGCTGGAACAAGAATTGTGTTTCCCAGTCTTTTGGCTGGGGCTCGCCAGGTGCCCACGGGATTTCAGCAGTAGGAATTCAATTTCGTGCCAACAAAGGTTTGATGCTGGTCGGTTGACAGGACTGAAACGACCAAAAACCCGAAGGATGCTCGGGCAGCAAGAAATCATAGAGCATAACGCCGTATAGCAATCACTCCAGTTACGTACTTTTGATGTACTTGTGCTACAGGAAGATCGCTTTGAAAAACATGTAATAGCTAAAAGCCGTCCGCGATCTGGATGCGGTGTCCGGTCTTCCCCATGTGTCCTTCTCGACCTGGTTTCTGCCGAGTGACGTCTTCCCATCGGGCCACCGGTATCTGCCCATGCCGTGGGGCGCGGACTTCTCCCACTGGCCTTTGAAGTTGGTACCTGCAGCGATCGACTCCGGACAGAGTCGAGTCGAGTTGACCGGACACGGAAGGAAGGAAGGAAGGAAGGAAGGAAGGAAGGAAGGAAAAGCCGTGAACTCGGCATGGCTGACCTCTCACAAACATGACATGCAAACAACAAAGCAAATAAACACCTCAATGCCTCAATAATCCAAAAAATCGATATGCATGTTGCGAGCAGCTGAGTCTGTGGCTCTGAAATTAAATTTATGGCCTACATGTAGAATGTAGAATTGCTATATTTTGTCTTTGGGTTGAGGTGCGTAGTGATGGTCCCCGTCTGCTGACTCGGGCCCCCAAGGTGTTTTTGGACCCCCTCTGACTCCTTGGCACGTTCTGCCGTGGACGGTCTCCGTTGCCCCGCGCCTCCGTTGAGAGAGTACTCTCCCGGGCCGTTGGGGCAGTTTTGCCGCCAGGAGCCCAGATACACAGTGCCGTCCGGCCACGTGTTGGAGCCATACCCTCAGTGGGAGGCTCGCTCGATGGGTTGGTTCGGAGCTTTGAGATCAGGAGCCGTCTGGGTCAGAGGGGGTTGCTAATGATGTGGGTGGGGAGCGGTGGCTCGGAGAAAAAGAGGCCAAATCCTAGAGGACGAAGTGTCCCCAAATAAGGCAAGTCCTAGAAGGCTTCCCACTATAAGATACTATAAGTAGAGAATAGTAGAGATATAGATGAATTCATTGAAGGTGGGGGAAGAAGTCCTGAGGTGTCATTGTGGTGTCGCTAAAGCCATCTGTTGATTGCTATGTTGGTTTGGGGAGACCACAGAAGCATACTCTTTGACAGAAGGTCCTGGGGAGGCTCATGCTGCGCATGACGTCTGTGTGGAAGGATTGAATAAAAAACCCACACCACGCAAACACATGGGTAACGTGATGCTGCTGCATGTTGCCTCTACATCCGATCTGTGGATGAGGAAGCCAAAGCATACGCAAATCCATGTCCGGGCATTTGGGAAGGTATCTCCAGGTCGCCTCAGCACCTCCGGGCCCTCTTTTCCCAACGCATGAAGTTGATCCTCAGCGCATCTTTGGGGATTCGCAGCAGAGCCGTCGTCTGTACAGGCTCAAGAGGTTCAGTTCTGCGCCAGGAAATCCTACAGTGAGCTTGGGCAGCTGCTCTGGCCTGCTCTGGCCTCACCTTCTTGGTGCTTTTCGCCATGGCGCACCACTGTAGAAGCTTTCTGAATGCCCCATCCTTCATCTGGCAGCAGGCATTGGCAGTGGCCACGGCACCGGCCAAAATTCGGCCTCGGAGCCTACTTCGTCACCCTCCTCTAGGTCCATCAGTTCACCGCCCAAGGCTTCCAAAAGACCACGTGCACAGTCCTGCCCGCCACAGGCGGCTTCTTCGCCCCCAAAAGATGGATGTTGGAGTGGCTGCGGTTGTTCTCCCGGATGGATGGGCTCAATAGAAATCTAAAGGACAACACAAACGTCGCATCTGAGGACGTCGCACTTCAATAGGAAGCTCTAGAGAAGGAGATTAAAGGATAACTTAAAGGATATATACTCCTTCAACTGCACTCATCCTCCGGTGTTCAGGAATCTGAACCTCTTCCATGTTTGGTCACAAACATCGAAACAAACATGATGATGTAGATAGACTTGAGGAAAAAAACCAACATGGAGTGTAAAGCCATCGTCTTATAACCTACATTGATCAAACCTCTGCTGTATATTACTGTATAACTACCAGGTACGAATCCTCTTCGGCCAATCTCTTCCGAGAAAATCCCAAAGGAGTTTGACCCTCGCGGCTTAACCGCCAGAATCCACCACCCGAGACGGAGGACGCTTCCAGCGAACTCGAACACAACAGGGAGGAGGGAGGAAGAAGAAAAGGCAGTTAACTCGACATGAACCCACCATGCAATACGCATGCAATACGTCAATACGCATGCATGATAGCTGTACTACCAGGAACCGGTCTTCACCGATCTTCACCGTTCGACCACCAACCTCCACAGGGAACAGCACACGAGCGCTGTCCGGTGCCCAAACGGTCCGTCCTCCAACGGGCGCTTGCGCAACTCGACGTGGTCCACGATCGTGTCGACCTGCGTGAGGACCTTGGAACAACAACGAGGTATACCAGGACCCTCCTGTCGGGGTGTCCTGCCTGGACTACCCCACACTACTAGGCTTCCAGACTGGGCACCCCTTGGAGGGTCCTGGTAGGGAAATCACACTTTGATGGCATCCCGCTTCTGGCACACAATGATGGAAAGGTGTTTTTGCGAGTGCCATCCAAGTGTGATTCCCTATATAAATGGGAAAAAAAAAACATGGAAAAAACGTGGAGAGCCCAGCCTAAGGGGACATGCAGATATATATGATATATGGGCCTATGTGGATGTGGAGATAAGTGGAAATGGAAAACGACGTGGAGAGCAGATATATGCAGGTAAAGTACTGGTCCATGTGCCTGAGTGACCGGAATGCGGATGATGATGTGGATAAATATGCGACAACCGATTGCAGCTTGTTTAGGAGACCTCTTGTTGTTTGGAATGCGATCCGGTCATGACCCGACGAGGAATTCAGAATTCACCTAATTGTTAAGAACCGTATGAGGGTCAATGCTGTAATTCGGGAATGGAGGAGGAATATATGGAGGAAAGATCCTCGAAGTCAATGTTGGAGGAAGTTTGTGCACCGTTGTGCTGCACGAACAGCAAGGACGTCCCCCTTGCTAAGCACGAAAAATAGATCAGATCCTTACAGGGCGCAGGTTCATACTTGTGCAGCTAATGTAGGCTCTTGATGACTCAGCTCTGACAGATCTTCTGCAAGATCAACAGAAAATCCGCTCGATGCTCCAAACTCCACTCCCGGGCCGCTTCATCAGCACTGAGCCACGTATAATGGCTCGGTGCCAGGTACTTTGAAGGCTCCCTGTACCCGGCTGTCCTTGGCAAAGGCCACAATGCGCTTGTCCATGTCTACCTGAGCTGCAAAAACCGCGGACGGTCATCCTCGCACCAGCGGACAATCACCTTCAAAACAAGACTCTCCGCAAAACAATCGTGAAGTCGAAACCCCTCTTAGTAGAGGAAAACTGTCTTCCAAGGTGCCAGGCCTTCCACGTTCATGTATGGAGGGAGGGTAGGGTCGTTGAACCGGACACTGGGTGGATGCTCCTGTTCTTGTCGATCGATCACTGATAAGTTCTCTCCGACTCAGTGGATTTCACAGAAGACCGAAGGCTGGACTCCATGCAGTGGAAACCAGGGGACGTTTCTGAACACCAGCGGATGGCAAACAGTACGATATACGGAACATGTGTCAAGAACAGCCTGGCCAATCATGATGCTCGCGAGTCCTTGAAGAAGTAGTGAAGTAGTGATCCTCCTTTAGCACCACCACAAAGGTGGCACATAGTTGCTATAAGGGCACATCCCATTACCAATAACAGTGGATGGTGGTTAGTAAGGGTTAGTGTGTACTGGCAATGGGATACAATGACACTGACACACCCTATATCTATACGGCACTTCGCTCCCCACATAGCTCCCCCTCAAGCTGCACGAAGTGGCCATAGTATAGGAGTGGTGTGTTGACCAGTGACGGACCCTTCAAGAAGAATGGGATATGTTCGGATGATGATGGCTCACGGGTTGCTGAGGGCTCTTTAGGATTGAACAAGGTGGAAGTTTGTCACGACGTCAAGTGGTTGGGATGGTACAATGTAAAACAGGAAAGCCTTGCCAATCTCGAGAAATGCACCAGCATGTTGATCACATCTCCCTCACTGCAGGCTTTCTCAAATTCCTGCAGCGCCGGCGCTGTGAGCATCCAACATGACACATGACAGCCAAGGGCTCAGTCGGGCTCAGTAGGTCAAGAATCAGGGGTGCAGGGACCCACTGGTGTCATGTTTGGGGGGAAGCCTTTGCCATGAGCCATGAGATGCCATGAGCCTGCATCACAACGCTGTTGAAAGAGGTGCTGTTTTGATGTCCTGTGTCAAGGACACAAATGAGATGCCTCAGCTTTCTGGGTCGGGGCCAAATCATCGAACATCACTTCAAGCATAGGACAAGGTGTGCATCAAACTGTTGTATAGCTTGAAACTCATGCACATCAAACACCGAGCATCTGGGCGCTCTGTAGAACAGCACGACGGGGATCAAACCAGGTTTAGCAAGGCCTATCTCAAGAAAATCAAACACGATGACATACGGACCATCTCCTTCAGAATCCTTCCTCCAATAAAATTTACAGCGGTTTCAAAGTAGGTGGCACAATCCCCGAGGCTAGGTGGTTTATATAGACCCCCATCTGAAAGACATCTTTGGGATGGTGTGCCATAGAACCTCTGAAACCCTACATCTTTTCTAGTCTTCTCTTCAGTTTCAAGCTTTGACTTAGGGCACTGGGTCCCAGAACCGACGTTCCCATGCTTGGGCCATCCCGCCTTCGACACTACGACACCGCACTGCACCGCCCCCCAGTCCTTGATGGCTTTCCCATGCGCATGGAGGGCGCCCTTGCCATCGCGGATGGTCCCCTCTCGGCTGCGGCGTCGACCGCCTCGTGGCTCTTGTGGGGCCCGAAAAGGGGCGTTAATAAGGAACCAAATATTGGGTCGGTCTATGGTTTTAGTCTTTGGAACCACTGGTTACCAGCTATAGTGGTAACTGGAGGCTTTATAATAGACTCTTGAATAAGAAACATGAAGAGGTTTTTCCATTCAAACGAAGGGGCGTGATTTATTGGTCAAGAGTCTACATTGGATGGTTTCTCAGTCAGAGCCAATTGGTGGGTTCTAGAACCCACCCCAACATGACACCCACCCCACCCTTCCCGTGTTCCAGGTGTTTGGCCCATTTTGGCCCTGCTGTTTCGCGCCCAGCCACAGTAGTAGGTCCATGCCTCCGCTTCGCGTCTGCGAACCGAGACGTGTTTGCCCGCCGCACCGCGCGAGCGAGTGACGCCACACCACTGCTCGTCGCCCACCTGACGAAGAGATTCGTCGAGATCTGAGTAGACTTCGGGTTGAAGGATCATCTTCACTTTGGATCAAGGGCCCGCAACCTGCAACCTCTCACGAATTCCAGATGGGACTGGAATATCAGTCAGAGATTTACCTGCAATAGAACCTCCCCAAACATGGATGGTGAAAGCTCTTCTTATAATATATGGGTTGAGTCTTTTTTGTAAAATCGACCGTCTACGTCTACGATGGTCAAAATCATGTTCACCAGAAATATTGCAGTACCCTCCAAAAGGTCTTTGGTGGTTAGAAAGGGCCCCAACAGGTCGAATTGGTTACCTGTTCGAAAAGGTCCTGGTAGAAAAGGAGGGGAAAAACGGATCCATTGACCGAGGTTGCTCTGTTTTTGGGCATCCAGTTCCAACTTGCACCAAGACAGCCGTCCAAACAGCAGTCCCAATCCTGTTCTTCTTGTGTCTTGGTTCATGCCACGAAGGGGGAAGGGGCAGCAAAATGGCAAACCCCTGGCATCGCCACCCAGCGCCGAAACGAACTCCACACCGGACCCCACCATGTGCAAAACGAACTCGAAGTAGTGAACGCCGCTGCGCAGGGGCTCCTGGGTCACCACGTTCACCTCGAGCTGCGGAGTAGTCGACTCGAAGAGGGGTGCCCCCAACTCTTCGGGGGTGCCAGTTCCGGGCCAAAGGTTTCGTTAACGAGGTGCCACAAGAGTGTAACTCTCTAGAGGGACACTCTTGAGGTGGAGAGTGACAACATCTCTTCTTCATGCAACGAACTGGAGTGATGTCTTTTTGGGTGGCGTGAGGTTGTTTTTGGTGGGACGTGTTCGGTTCAAAAAAGACTGAACAACATCCATGGTCATTACCGTCCTCCTACAGTGTCTCATGTGGAAAATTTGAAGCCGCAGTTATATACTGTAGAATCATTCTGAATCGTTATAGACTCCTCCAACCATGGTCGGCAACAATGTCCAGTTCCACGTGGGGCCATTCGTACCTAGCAAGTGCTTGGGGAAATGATCCGGTCTTGATCAAAAACCCCTCTTCCAGGACACGATCGCCACCTACGCCCAGTGGCATAGTCCGTCTGTAGAGACGGTGCTTTCAGCACACTGCCCTCGATCTGCAGGTGTCCCGCGTCGGGGTTTCCCTTCCAATCCCAGGTGTACAAGGGCCTCTCATCTGTCACGCATATCCTCGGATCTCAAGCAGTAGTAAAGACAAAACTGGGAAGAAAAAAACGGAGAACGGAGAACCCTTAGAAAATTGAAAGGCTGCATAGAGAATCATGTACGTTTTCCCTTTCCCATGGGATTATATAGTCCAGATTGCTTCCATGAACAGTCAAATGTCCTTCAACTTGACCCATACTCGAGCAACACTGGGCGTAGCGGAATGGTTCTTGGGGTAATTCAAGAGCCATCTGCGGCTCAACAGTACAGTACAAACCCAATTAAAAGAGATCTTGTTTCACCCCAAGCAGAGCTTTCCTGCCGCACCACTTGCCTCGCTTGGTGATCGTTCTTTTTTCTGCCCCACCCACCAAACCCACCGGCCCAAGCGACAAACAACGACCAAGCGACAGCTCGCAGCCGCTGGTGAGCTCGCCCCCATCCAAGATCTCACCTCGAAAATGAAAGAAAATGGTAGAAAATACATATGAAACAAAATCAGGACAATCGCAAGGTGTGTGTTATTTACACCACTTTTAGCCTATATGGATCCAAATGGTGTCTTGTGGCTCAAGCGATGTCGGGCACAGCACAGTGACGCACGGTTGTCAGAGGTGGCCCCGAAAGATAAGCAACATCCAAGAGATGCCAAACCTTTGTATACGATACCCCTGACATCCCCTGACTCCCCCTGCAGAACATAGCAGCAGCACTGAAAAATACCAATATAACAAACATATCAACTATAAAACCTGTCTGCAAAATGGGATCGTTCAAAAGGATCTTTACAAGGAACCTTGCACAAAAAAACATGGAAGCAAATGCAAAAAAAGAAAAGGAAAACGTCTCTTTGGCCACTCAGGGCACCTCCTTGCACCAAACTCTGCAGTTTGCTCGGGATTCCACTCGCCAGCTCCACCTTACGGGTTGACCCGGCAGCGGGTGGGGGCTCAGAAGGAGGGCGCTCAGGAGGGCGCTCAGCTAGGAGATGCAAACCGCACAATCAAAGACACCATCTGTTCGAAGCAAAGGGGGAACAAATGAGAACAACATCCCATTGAGGAAATGATTCTAGTTGCCATTTGAGTGCGAGTGGCATGCGCGAGTGGCTCTTAGGATGGAAGTCGATGGGGAGTTGGGTCTTTGTTCATTTTCGAGGTCATCCCACACAAACGGAGGATATAAAATGGTCAAACTACAGTCAGTCTTCTTGAGACACCTTCTTAGGCGTTGGCTCCTTGGCTGTCATGGACTGGCCCACGTCCGACGAGTTCGGCCATCGCACCTCAAGCCTCACCTCTTCCAACGTCTTGGGCGGCTCCATCTGCAACAGCAACGCACCGGCCAAGTTTGACACGCGGATGGCCTCAGCCATTGCACCGTCTGCCACTGCCATGGCCGTTCACCGCGAAGTGCCACCGCGCGGAAGAGGTAGAGAGGTGAAGGAAGGGCTGCAGGGCTCCGAAGGGGCTCAGCTTAAGCCAAATGCGGCGTGGCAATCATCCCCGGAACCACCACCGCCGTCACCAAATGCGGCGTCACCGGCGGTCATACGTGAGCGACTTGGGAGCACGGCAAAAGAAAGGAGAGTGCGGAAAGGACCTGGAATTCCAGGCACGCACATCCAGCTAACAAGGCCAACAGAGAAACCGAAATGGCCGATAGTATGGCCCACATACCGCATATACTGACTAATTACTACTATTACTCCTCCTCCTCCTCGTCCTGCCGCTCCTGCTACTGCTACTGCTACTCGCCAAGAGAAAATGCCGGCCTCCCAACCTTCGGTCTCTGTCGCCGTCCGTCGGAGCAGAACCCAGGGCACCACGTCCGCCGCCCTCGTGGGCATCGTCCGCCAGGGCACCACTCTTCTGGCCCTGCTGGAAGCCACCGGCGAAGCCTGAGATGGGGAACAAACTCTGGAGGGAACCAACGGCGGGCGAGGGACTCGGGGAGGGAGGCGCACCTGATTTGAAGAGGTTGCATGCGTTTTTTTCCGTGTCATTCATGTAGGCTCTCTTAAGATATCTCTCGATGATATGTTAAAAACCTCCCTGGGTATAGGCCCTATATATTGAGGTTGTTCAATGCATGTCTGGGAGGGTGTTTTCCGATCAAGATCCTACATCACCGCGGGGGGCCATGTTTGTGTGACTCTCTGCATGATCCAGACCGAGGATGAGCTTCATGATCTTCTTGCTGATCTGCACCGGAGAAAAACACGTTGTCCTTCTATGTCCTTCTATCTTCTTCTTCTTCTTCTTCTTCTTCTTCAAGTGTCCAGAGCGAAAACCCCTTCACAATTGAATCCTGTTACACCAATGTTTCACGTCATGCTGTCAGAGTTTCTCCCTCCAAAGCTTTGTTAAATGTTGTTAAACTCGAAAGAGGGCAAGGTAACAAACCGTCCACCTGCCACGCGAAACAACGACTTGCCAATTCGACCCCCTTGGCTCTTGCTACATTCCTGCTCAGGTGATCTCGTGGTTCTGAGATCCATGGTCCAGCCTTTTCGGATGGTCTGACGTTTACCACTTCTCTCCAGATTTGCACGAACCGAAATCCATGCAACATTGGACTAGTAACTGTATGCAACTGTAAAGGCGCCCAAGCCTCAAGTCCGGCTCAAACCGCTCCCTCCCTCGTCCGCTCTTTTTGTCCACACGCGCGCTGTAGAGCAGACCTCCGCAGAGCCTCCAGCATTTTCAGAGCTCTTGGAGCTGCAAGTGGGACACCACGTCCGACCTGGGCATCTATATGGAGGAGGGTTCCACTGTCAGAAACAGGGGTCAGTGACTTGATGGGACCATACTGGGGTACCTATTATGGGATATAAGTCCTTTGCCGGGTTCTTCAACCCACTCGCTCTCTGGCGCAATGGTCCGGGGATTCGTCCTTGAGTAGCATCGCGGGTCAGGGGTCCGGGACTGTCTCGTGGTCGTACCCGAACACCATCATGACTTCGTGATGACTATCGTCATGACTATCGTCATTCTATATTCCTATAGATGCTATATTCCTGCTATGTGACGCATGACCTGCCCTGAACCGGGCTGTGGCATGGACTGTCCGCCACTCGCGCTATATTCCTGCTATGCTTTAGACGAGCCCAGGAACTCCGTTTGCAGCAAGAATTTGCTCATCTTCCTCTTCCGCTCCGCGTGCTGCTGCTGCAAGTGTTGCTTGTGCGAGTGCTCCTCGCTCTTCTCGGGCCGCGGCTGCACCACCGGCTCGGGTTTGGGTGCCTGGCTCTGGGGCTTCCGAAGGAAGAAGAACAAACCGGTGAAAACAAAAAAACTTTCGACATCCCCCTGCTTGCTGTTCGAATTCTCCCCCCTTGTTGGACTTTCGACATCCCCACTTAACTAAACTGACATCCAAAAGAATTAAAAAAGTCCCCACTTCAACTACTTCATCCCGCCTTCTCCACCTTCACCTCCTCCTCCTTCTTCGGTTCAACCTCCTTGGACTCCAGCAGCCATGCGGCGATCCGTCGTTGGATCGCCTCCTTGGCCAGGATGAGCTGCATCGGCATGCCCGGCACCTCCTGAGGATGAACCCCACTGGGCAGCTGGTCATCTTCCCCCCCCCCGCCGGGATCTCCTGCTCGCAACATCTGAAGACGTGGATGGTGGTTTTCAGAGGTACTTCCTTGGGTCCTAGGGAGGTTCTCCACCAACTGGCAGCTTGCTGACCAAAACTTTAAGGACAAGCATTTCTTGCAGGCACACTCTATGACGCGTGGGGGGGCTGGAGTGGTAGTGTAGCAGGAGAATGGGCTCTTGGCTGGCTCAGCTGACCCACGGTCCCATGCCAAAAGCCCAACAGGAAAGGCAGTGTGGGACAAGCTGGGAAAGACCAAGCCGGGAGGCCGAAGACTTCTCTACCCGGTCACTTTGGAAGTCACTTCACTTCAAGGTGAATCAAAGAAGCCCGAGCCCGTCGCCCTTAGGTCGGAGGCCCATCGCCCTTAGGGTCGGAGGCCCATGGCCCTTAGGTTGGAGGCCTTGCCGCCTCAGTCCCGAGCCTTGCCGCCTCACTTCCTCACGTTGCGAGCCAAGGCTCCGGGTGCATCCACTCACAGTGGGAGGCTCCCTTGACGAAGATCGTGTCCTGGGCGACGCGGGACGCGGGTCCGCTTAGCGGTCCAATCGGTCCAAGCGGTTCGGGTCTCAACCAGCAAAAGCCTCCAAAAGCCCAAGGGTGCGAAGATCCTGCAGATCAGCTGAGTATTCTATAGCCTTTGTTGCGGCCGCTTATGATGTTATACAGACAGGAGTGTCGAAAGATTTGCTCATTCGACAACTGGAGTAGAAGAGGATGATGTTGTTTTCGTGATGCTGTTCCTCTTTCAATGCATCACCAGCATTTATCAGGGTGATATCCCCCTCCAACAAACACGCAAGTGGACAAGCTTGTGGAGTCTGGTCTTTCCAGGGTACCTCTTTCGACTTCCATGATTCTTTTGCAGTGTTATCAGGGTGTGCCATGAGCCATTTCAAGGTCTGAAGGTGATAGAAACCTCGAATCCAAGGTGGCCGTCCCGCCCAGGCAAAGGGGCAAAGGAACCACTTCCAGACCACACAACGGCGCAGAAAAGCCAGTATAGAACTTATGCTTGTAAGGTGCTTTGTTTCCACCCACCTCTTCCAAATAGATTTAAGCCGTCATATTTGGGGCCCTAAACTGGTCCAAGAAAAAACCCTCTATAGGAACGCCCGGAGGGTAGGAAAAAAAAAAGGAACTCGATGTCCCACGCTCCGTTGACGGGGCCGACCCCCCCTTGTTCCTCCCCCTTTTCCCTTAGCCCTCAACCCACCCGGACCGGACCTCCCCCCCCCGGTCAACTACCGATTTCCCAGGCTTCCACGTTGGGCTCGGGGCTCACCAGGTTGGACTCCCAGTGCCAGGGATCCACTTCGCCATTGGGGAAGACCACCTCGGTCTGCGGCTCGGCTCGGCGACCGAAGACGGGGACGACGCGAACGGACTGGCCGTTCCGTGGATGTTTGGTGGTTCTTGAGAGGCCCTAGGACCCCAGGAGGGGATGGGATTGAAGGCCCAGAGATCTGGGTGAAGAACCGCGTCCCACACGAGAAGTGCCCATGACCAAGCAAATCCAAGGCACCTTCGTGGCGTCCGGGAAGTTGGAGCCTCCGTAGTAGCGGTTCGTGGCGTCGATGTTCGCCAAGACTTGCGCCGGAGACTGGCCGAGCACGGCGCGTGCGCCGAGCCGAGACGCGTCAGAGACGACGGTGGTGTCGGTGGATGTCAAGCTGAGCCGAGCCATGAGGGAGAGCAAAAGCCAAGAGAAGAGGATGACTCTTCGAGGAACACATCACATGAAAGTGAAAAAAGAAAACACACCAAAAAACAACTAATACCAGGACTCCCCTAAGGGGCTTCTATTGATAGACCCTTAGATGTTAAGGGGTTCCATGAACCACCCCTTGTGGGTCCTGGTATGGAGCAATGAGCCCTCCGCTCTCTTCGGGGGGGTATGTAGATGTGGATGTCTGACGAGTCCGTTTCACGTAGTGAAAGGTGTCCAAAATCTGGTTCACTCCAACTGCTTCAGAAAGCTGTGATGGTCACTGGTCTTTTTTTTGCAATGTTGCGAGTGATCACCTCAATTCGATCAAGGTTGCGACGCTGACTCTATACACTGAACCGTCTCCAAATCAGCCAAGCAACGATGTCGAACAGGAGTTGGCAAAGCTCCAGCGCCCACCTTTCGGAGAGTGGCTGACATGTCTCACAGGGAGGGGTTGACGAATTCCACCTTAGAGCCTGCCACAAGCCAGGTCCGATCCGTCAAGAGACCCTTCTGAGTCCACAGGTGTAGTGCAGGAAGTGCTGTGCCATCAACACTGCAGGTATGGACTAGACGGTTCACCAGCTGCGCTGAAGTCAAACTGTTCATTTGCCAGTGCTGGACCATCTTTCCACTAAATCTCAACCACTGTCATGATGCCATGTCACAAAGCTTCACTCTGTATTCCACCCTCACTCTCACCCAGAAGCCTAGGGGCATTTCCCCATGCTCAAAAGCCACCTCACCCTTTCCACCCCACACCATCCAACACCATCCACCAGGCAGGTCATGGTCACCAGGCAGGTCATCTTCCTCAGGTGCGTGGATCAAATGACGTCCAAGGCACTGAATGGTGTTGTAGCCCTTGGTATACGGGCAGTTGGTGCCCTCCTCGCAGGTCTGGTACCTTGGCGTACGGGAGGCCGAAGAGGCAAGAATCCGGGCTGATTTACGCCTGGACCCAAGCATCATGTTATTAGGTAGTTCGACCAGGAATGGGAACGCGGACGTCCGCAATCCACTTTCCTCCTTCACCTGCATTTCATCATATTTCGCCCCTTTGCATCTCCTGGTTTCTCGTGTTTTCTCTTCATGCTTGCTTTTCTCTGGCGATTCTGCACCCGGCCCCTGATTCTGCACCACCAGTCTCTCCCCGACCACTGCGCAACCCAAGCAACCAGCCGAACTCCGTACAGGTCTGATAGGTCCAGAGCCGCCCGAACTGGTCGCCCGCCTTGGGGTCGGTGCCGGGGACCTTCTTTTCCAACGTCATGCTCTCCACGTACGCCTCGTCAGCGCGGCTGACCGCGCGCGCGGAAACGGCGCTGACCGGCCGGAAAGGCGGGGGCCGGAGGGAGCGGAGAGAGGAGGTGTTGGGAGGGGGGATGAAAAATGCTTGCTGTATGCATATGCTTGCTTGTTTTGGTGATCTTGGATCTTGGTCATGCGTAACTGCTTCCTCAATGAGGTTAAGGACCGGGTAGTACTGGGTCTTTGGACATATGCTTGCTTATTTGGGACCTGTCGGGTGTAGTAAGCATGGTGATCAATGATGCAGCTACCCCTAAGCCAGCCACGATGAAATCCTCTGACCAGCTTGGGGCTCCGTCCGGACTTCTGCTGCCCTTGGCACCACCTTCGTGATTAGGACACCTTTTTGCAATGGCCAACATGACCATCATGACCATGAAAAACAACAAAAATACATCTCACACACTGTCCTTCTCACCAGCAGAATGAAGAAACAGACGAGTATCCACTCCATTCTTTTTTTGAAAATGTTCCCTCACCATCTCCGATGTCAACACCTGGCCCCAAAACTGCTAACCTCTCCTTGTAGGAGGCATCCGTGCAGTTGGGGACCTTTCGCCCCCGTGCGATGGATTCCGCTCGCTGAAACTCCGACATCAACTGCAGGGTTTCCTCAGGCGTCGCGGAAACTCGCGGAGCGGCGCGGCGCGGTGTCCAGGGGTTTTGTTCGTCTCAATGGACAGGTCACATCCAGGCCATGGGCCCCCCCTTCTGTGGAGTTCTGGGAAGGTGGAGACTGGAGACCGAAGTGGAGACTTCCAAGGTCTCCATCTTCATCGGCCAATGAGAAGGTTCACACCGGAAAGGGTCCCGCCTGCTTCACTTCAAGCCCTTTTCGTGTGGTGCAAGGTATGTTCCCCCTCCCCCACCCGCTGTGAAGACATCGGATTCACTGGGGGAACATGGCGCGTGGTCCGATGCGGCGACGGCACCCGGGTGATGTCCGTGAACGCCCCGATGCAGCTGGAGATCAATGTTACTGGCCGTGCTCTTGCTCATCATCGACAAGTTCCCGCAGAAGAGCTTCACATTGCAGTAGGTATACTCACAGGTGGCCTTGTTGTACCTAAGAATCACCAAGCTCACGCTCCAAAACGGCCAAAAAAAGACAGACGTGGTGGCATGGACCCCCCCAAAATGTAATCCCCATCTCACCTGAGGGATAAAAAACAAACATAGACATGATGTATCATGATGTAGTGCCTAAACGTTCCTCCTTTCCAAGAAAATACAAGAATAATTGCAGTCTATGGTCTATAGCCTATAGCGATATAGTAGAAGGGAAAAAGACTGTCCCCTTTTTTCCCCCCCAGGGAAGGCCTCCATAAAAGCCAGGCAACTGTGGCACCGTGGAAACGATGCCATCAGTACCGGCCCAGTAGGCGATATTGTCGCTGTTATCCAAGGGGTTGTAGCCACACAAGTTGAACATCTTCTCCAAGGCACCTGGGTGCAAAAATGCAAGCTCCACCTGATCCCCCAACAAGGCCCCAGCAGCCATCTGGGGCCTTCCTAAGGGTCCAAAGGATTCTGGGTTCGTTCCGCCTTTCAGTTCGGTCCTTCAGGAGGTCCGACCTCTGGGATCTTGTGGTCTGGTAGGCTTGGTGATACATCGAGCACTTCAACATCTCCCTTGGTTTCCAGTGACCTGCATCCAACTCATCAGGTCATCCGTAGGTCATCCGTTCGAACGGAGTTCCTATAGTATCTTCCCCTTCCGCGCGCATCGTGTGCACCGCGTCTTGAGGATCAAGTTAACTCTGAATTGCTTCCATTTTGTACACCCGACTGCAAGGGGGAACGTATCGAGGGCCCAATTGGATCATGATAGAATATCCAGCGGCCCTCAAGATGACCCTCTCTCCAAACAATCATGGAAATGGACCATGGCCGCTGGAAAGACCATTCTCCTCTACCAACAGGAAGTTGTCCACTTCCATGTTTGTGTGCAGGGAGGGGAAGAACCCAATTCGGGCAGGAAGGTGCTCGATCACACTTATTCCCCTAAGCCTTGATAAAAGCTATATCAGAGCCTATTTCCTCTCACCGTCACCATAGGTTCAGCCCGAGGAGCGCCGCCCCATGGGCGTCTTCATCATCTCGGCAGCCTCCGCGTGGCCCTTGCTGTAGGTGGCCAGGCACCTCAGCTCTAAACGGAATCCATTCCCCTATCTAGCGGCTTGTGGTGCCAGGACGAGGGCATGTGAAAAACCCTACAGATCTGATCTGTTAGAGCCTGGATCAAAGAAAGTTGATGTTTTTGGTCTGTAAGTTGTGCCACGCGAGTCAGGGGAGCCTTAAGCAGTCCAAGTCATGGCTGGGAAGGAGCATCTATAAAAATCCCACTTCACTTACCTGAACTTCATCTGTCTGAGTCAAAACCGCGCAAAAAACTGCCGCCACCATCAAAGAAGGTCCGCAAACGCACAACCCACTACTTCAACAGCTTGCTGCGAATTGTCACTCTGAGACTCCTGAGTGCAAAAAGCTTCAAGGCTTCTGAACAACCACCAAACGAGGCATAGACCATGACGCCACCATCCTCCACCATTCTCCACCCTACTCCCACCCCAACACCACCGCTGCCAAGGCCACTCAGGCGTGCCACCCACGCTGGGCGCGGTTAACGCCGAGGCCACCACGTCGTTGTAGCCCACAAAGTTCGCCTCACTCGCGGCTCCGTTTCCGCGGATGGTGTGGCCCTGGCCCCAACGACTGAAGCAAAAACAATGGTGGCCCACGTGTGCCCACATGCCAACCAAGACCCAAAACACCTATAATTAGACCCCAACACCCAAAACACCCTATAGACCAAAACCAAGACCGAAGAGATCTGATCTCCTTTTGCGTGCTCGCCACACGCGGACCCGACTCCCTTGGCCTGTGCCAAGAGGGGCGCGGAGGAGGCCACCGAAGCAGCAAACTTGCCGGGGTAGAGCTTCCTGTGGCGCTGTGAGCTTCACAGCGGCACGGCCGCCGAAGCCGCAAATCAGAGGGCACTAGGAGAAACATGACGAACCCCCCCCATGGAATGGTGCACTTTTTGTTGGTTTACGCCACCGGTTTGGATGATACAGGGAGAAGGTTCCGGATAGGCGTGTACATGTGTATCCATGCATCCTTCCTGTTGCTTCTGCAAATGTTGGTCTGGGTTTCTCACTCCGGCCGACAAATGTTCCCGCATACCAACTCTAACCTGATACATGCCAACTCCAACCTGATAGATCAATCCACGAGCTCTACTCGATGTGGTATGACACCGTTTGTGCTCTTGCACCCACCTGCCAGTCCTCCCAAAAGTCCTGCAGCAGAACACCATCTTACTATCAGGTTTCATGTTTGACGTCTACCAGATAGATGCATAGATGCCGGTATATAATTGTATAGTGGTCCCCAAATAGATCCTGGCACGGTTTCCAATACGAGGTCTATCTAAATACTAGAAGGACCAGACTACCGTATCCATCACGAAGATCTTTCTCAGATCTTTACCGTCCCAGGTTCCGTGCCCAGGCGGACAACGAGCCCGGGTAGGAGCCGCCAAAGACCACCCAGGGCACCTTTCCCAAGGATTTGGTCATGTGGTCCTTGGCACCGTGACCCCAAGGAGCGTGACCCCTCCAGTGTGTGGGGGGGAGGGGGCGGTATGTGCTGTGCGCCTTTGAGCTGCTTTGGGACCCAGAATGTCTTTGATCCAAAGGTGCCACTGGTTGGCAGGGTCCAGGTGAAGCAGCCAGATTCAAACTTGAAGATGGGACAGCCGAAAAAGAGCAGGAGCACTAATGGCGGCAGGATGCCAAAACCCATGAAGTGATCAAATTCCTCTCCCTTCAGGGGTCTTAGCAAATCATGTTCACAAATATTCACCAACTTCACCCGCACTTCGCCACCAAAGGACCTTTCAAAACGTCCCCTGGAGATCCTCCTCCATTGGCATCTTCTCAAAGAACCCCCCTCCTTTTAGTCGCACCTCATCCACTTCGCACCGCTGCAGCCAAGCATCGTGAAACTGGGCCAAGTCAGCTAAAGCCTGGCAAACAAAACCCACTCCTTCGTGTAGCAGCACATTTATGTAGACTCCTGAGTTCAAAAAAAAACTTTTGAAGAAGTGTTCTTTTACAATCCAATTGGGGCATTCACGTGTTCTTCTGGAAGGGCCGGAACAAGTGTTCCAAACCAAACAAAAGCGCGCGCAAAGACATGTAATTAGAAGCCCTGTGCCCTCTCAAAAAAGAACTGACGACCTCTTTGGGGGACGAAACTGGGGTGCGTGTCAGGAATCGGGACCATTACACCCCCAAAAACCATCCTCCCAAACGTCTACCGATGTCCCACCCCTCAGTCCTCCCAACAATTCACCCCACAAGGCGGCACATATGCCAATTCGTCCTATATGGTATAACATATGTAATCGTTCCAAAATTGCAATAGTGCATAAAGAGAATCCTGCAGGTAGAGCCATCACCAAGCTACTCACTGCCTTTGAGCTCAAACCGGATCACTGTGAGGTGTTTCGTCCCACTGAGGTGTTTCTTCACATCACTAATTATACCCTAGGGATCCAAGTACCTTCTCAGAAGGTGATTGGAAACACTGTTATGTAGGTTTGGAGGGTCCAAGTACTTTCTGAGAAGGTACTTGGATCCCTAGGGATATGTCTATGTTAGACATCGAGACGTTCCCGGGACGCGACCTCGCGCACGTTTCTCGGCGGCCCGGCGCCCCGTCAGACTTCCCTAGAGAACCCCACTCCGGCCCCTGGCGCCTGGCGGCTGGAATGCCACTTGAGATTGGCCGTGCTAAAATTCCTCAAGTGGAAAAGTGGGCAACAAGTGAACAAGCGGCCAAGCTTTTTGGGTGGAAGAGCGAGAAGTGAGGCAACAAATTGAGGCCAGGAACACTTTAAACCTTTGGAAGTCGCATCGAATGACTTACACTTCGACAATGGCCAAGTGTTCCACCAAGCACCCCATTCACCCAAGCATGAACCTTTGCAGAGGACTGGCGGGCGTTTCGGATGTCCCAACATGCCATCGAAGGTTCTGCACGCCATCGAAGGCAGCACCGCCGTAGTAGCGATGCTCCAGGGCCATCATCATGGCGTCGAATTTGGGTGCCAGCCTGGCAGTGGAGGAGAGCACTAGTAACGTTAAATGTAAGTGAGGCAATTCACAGGAATCAAGTGGATGGGCAAGAAACACCTCACAGTCATATATGGTATATGAATGCATGTGTTCCTGAACTCACATGCAAGATCATGACATCCATGTCCATCTTCTTGATGAACAAGCCCAAGCGGCTCGACCATGTTGTTGCAGGCCACGGTGTAGGGACGCCCCCCCACTGAGCCAAGGATAATCCTCTCCATCGATGCAGATGAAGACGGGACCGCCCTCCTAGCCGGGGAGTTCGGAGCTTGGGAGGAGAAGGGGAGAAGAGAAACACCGGGAACAGAAGAAGCATCAAGCAATCCTGCCTGCCAAGTTGGCGAATCGTTTAGAGAGGAAATAAGAAGCTGTGGCTGTGGGCTATAGACTGTTAGACTGGGCCAGAATCAGCCAGAACAATTCAGCCCCGCCGCCTTGTGGTAGGTGGCATTCACCAAGAAGCGTTGACACCAGGTGTTCTTCACCTTCTCATCAAAGTGGTCTAGCTTCCTGAGCTCGTCCAAAACTGAAAATAACTGAAGAAAAGATTAAAAGTGGCACCCAAGAGGTATCTATCTACATGCAACATCTCCTCAGTCATCCCCCCAATAAAACAGCCCCACTCCGTGCCAACCACGCAAAAGAACACCTCAGGGGTCACCTGTCAGCTACACTCCGCATGGTGCTCTTTACCTGATGGTTCTGCCAGGAAAAAGAACACCACCCCCCCCAAAACAAAGTACAGAAACACGAAAGAAACGAGCATCTGGTCGCAATACTCTCGGATGGCGCTGGCGTCGGAGAGGTTCAGGGCCGGTGGAGCCAGATTGTTCCAAAGGACGTGCAACTCCTCCCGCCGGTCCGGCTCCGCATGGATGCCTGACACCGAGATTCATCCCGACCGATGTTGGAGTGGAGTCTGACAGATGTTGGAGTGGTAAAGGAAGTCGACCGTTCCTTTCTTTAAAACATGAGTTGCTCCTGTTGGGGGGTAGGGCACTGTGGGGTGGTGTGCCAGAATCGCTGGCAGTCAGTAATTATATAGGATGATGACTTCGGTCAAAACATGTCAGCACCCAATTGCGAACCCTGAGAAATCCACAAAAAAGTCTACCAGTCTACCACCACAAAAAAAAGCAACCGTGTCTCCAGCATCACCAAAACCACCTCCCGAGGCTGTACTGTCCGCCCCTGACAACGGCCTGCCAAAGAAAGCAACAGCACCCAGCATCGAAGCATCCCGGCCATCTGCGATCCGTCGATTGAAACGGTTCGGTCGGCCGTTCGGGCTACCCGAACGGCTGGCGCCATGCCGGGAGCCAAAAAGCCAACGAGGCGCGGGCCGCATGCATCGGAGGAGTCATGTGGAGTAGGAGAAACATGACCTATATATAAGTGATGCCGAACTGGTTTCTTGAGTGTTCCATGTTCCTTTATTGCACAGTACAGCAGCTATTCGATGCTATTCTCCTATTCCAACTAGGATAGTTAAACCGAAGCACCGCAAAAAAGGAAGCCCTGGTCCTAGCAGCTCAGATTGTTCTATCCCTTAACCCCCAACAAGAATTATATATAGCCCCCCCCAAAAAAAAATAAAAATGCTTCCAATGTTGCGCCATCGCCTTTCAACCACCACCCGCAAAACCCCTCCCGGTCCTCCCACTCCGCTCTCCCGGTCTCCGTCTCAGGTCCACCACCGCGCGTAAGACCGGGGAACAGGAGCCATCGGTCCAGGTCTCCACTCCCAGGCCGTCCCGGTGGTCGCAGCGGAACTGGCCCTCGTAGCAGGCGGCGCCGTCCTGCGGTGAACCGCGCGGCCGCGTCACCGTTCGGGTTGCGAGGTCCGTTCCGATTTCGCGGGTGGTCCTCAAAGTGGGTGGCAGATTCTCTCCAAAATCGGTGATAGATGTCTCCCCAGAAGAGCCGAAACCGGAAAATGTAGACAATATGTCCGAGATCTTCTGAGACTTGTTCATCCAAGGCACCTTCTTTGTCACACTCACAATTCTTTGTTACCAAGATGTCTGATAAAATCACTCGAAATGGTAAACCTTCACCCCGGGACGCTCCAAAAACAATTGTCAGAAAAGGTCAGAAAGACCCCCCAATGTGCAGCATGGGCCAACCACCACCCTACAAGCGAACCAAAGGTGCGGTGCCCACCCCCTGCTACGATTTCAGCTACAGCAGAACAAACCACCGTCACTGGCAGAAACCTGCCGAAGGCCACCTGAAAGCGATAGATCCCCAGGCCATGGGCCCTCCCATTGAACCATTCTCCGCTGTAGGAGTCGCCATCGCTGTGCTTGATGTGCCCCAAGCCATGCGCGCGGCCCATGCGCCATTGGCCCAAATACTCCGTGCCATCCGGCCAGATCTGGACAAGCACCGTCAAGGGAAGGAACCAACATGATGTTCTTGAGGCGCTTAGGCGGGGGGGGGGCTTGTTAGGCTTAGGTCTTATAGGCTTCCTTGATTTATCCCAACCCGTCTGGCTACAGCAATCCAACATTTGAAGCAGGTTCAAAGAGGCTTAGACAGGTTAGAATAGTTTACATGATGTAGAAAATGGGAAGTGGCAATCCAAGGAATAATGTGTGCACTTCTGTTTTGCACGTTTGTCACTGCAGCCCGTCCAGTCCGTATTTACTACAATACTACAAGGATGTCACCAATGCCAATGAAGAACAAAAACTCTTGAGGGCTTGAAGTGCTCATGGTCAGGTTGGAGCGAGTGGGAGTGGAATGCTTCGTTGTTTGTCCAACAAGTGGCGGAAGTGGAACAGAACAAAAATGGTCAAGCAAGCGGTGTCTGGATCACTTCCGTGCTTTTCCCCCCCCACACACCTGCACGCCTGGAAACACAAAGTAAATATATATATATATATCTATTGAGCTGGCACTCCTGCGGCTAACGTCCCCCCTTTGCTCATCTAAATTCCCATCCACGTTCGCCTGCTTCCCAACGCCATGGCGGTTGCCCTCCAGCCACTCCCCGTCGTAGATGGCACCGGACTCGAACTCATACCTGACCGTTGTGCTTGTGCGCAAGCTGAATGGGTCGGGGGCACGCTTGAACAACTAGCCTTCCTCCCATACAGCCCTATCATGCAAATCATGCGATTGACACGAATCACATGAACAATCAACATCGTGGTGAAAAACAATGGAGGAGATGGCCCCTAGTTCAGCGAAGTCGAAGTCGCTCTTGTATCTTTGTGATACGACACCCGAAACACATGTCCTCTCCACACGCATGCTTGTGTTACTAGCGCTTGCCCAGTTCCAGGCCTGAAATGCTGTGCTACGCTGTCGTCCTGAGCGTGTCCCAGGTCATCCCCGGCACAACCGATCGTACACCTGGACCTTCCAAGGGGTGTCCAATGGAGATCCACAAGTACACTAGTGTGAGTCTTCCATGGGTGAAACCCTTTAAAGGTGCTGGCAAGTAGAAGAAGTCGGAGCAGGTCAGAGCGCCATTGTTCAGTTGCCGGCGACGAAATGTAAGAAAGGCCGTTCACCAAAAAGGCTCCTTTACTGTTTCAACTGCACAGTGGGCAGCTCTTCACTATCCTCTCCCTTGGTGGGTGATGATTCAACTCCTGGCGGAAGCTGCGTCCTCCAAAGCAGGGGACTCGCCAACCTCACAGTCAAAGTACCTCACGGGCCGGGGGGAAGGCGGACATGCTCGGACTGTTGAGGGGACAAATCTTGAGAGGATCTTGCGTGTGAGAATGTTCGGAAGCGGGCAATGGAAACAGAAGGACCTTCAACCTCTTTTTTACTCTCACCACCCATGCCCCAAGGCACACCATTCTCAAGTACCAATTGAAGGGTGCTTGGCTAATAAGTGTTGGTCTAAGAAGTTGCGGATCTCGAAATTACAGCAAACTGCCCTTTTGGCGGCCATTCTTCTGTATTGGTGGGGGGTGACAGTCGTATCAAACAAACAACCCCGTGAAGTCATGATCCACACCCGAAGAAGATTAACATGGAACCTGAAAATGGACCTTCGAAGACGATTTTCCTCTGCGACCCAGTCGTTTTCAGGTTGCATGTGGGTGTCTTCCAGGGCGTCAGATTATATGGTGGCCACATTGGTCATCATCGGTCACCCTTCACCTCCATCAGGGCACGTGTCCGGCAGCCGCGTCCAGTCGATGACATCAGGCGCTCCTAGAAGGACTGCATGTCACGCAAATGGTTTCAGGCATACTGGAGGGTCCAGCAGGAACCGTTACGTTCCTCCAAAGCCCCCGGCCCAAGGCCCCTTCCACCCTTCTCGGAAGCTCCTCTCGCCAGGGTGTGGACCTGGCGGCGGGGTCCGAGTCAGCAAAGGTGAAAAGCCTGTCCCACCAGAAAGTGTCAGGTCCCCAGTTGCATCGCACGGTCCAGGTATGCCAAAAAACATGGAACTCGGTCTTAATTTGCAGGTGCCACGCTGATGAGGGCAGTACACCAGCTTCAAGAGGAACACGGGTGGAACAAAACAAACAACAGCTTCATAGTTGCTCATCCACTCCATCTGTCACTGCTCATCTCCACTGCCCATCTCCGGCCTGCATCGGCTCCAGCGCACCGCCCAGCGCCTCTCTGCTCCGCCGGCTGCGACTGGGATTCCTCACCTCCTCCACGGCGAGGCTCTTCGACGGCACTGCTGGCACCTCTGCCGGCTCCTCCTCCGGAGCTCCAGGTGCCTGGGCAACGTCGAAAAGGCTTCCAAATGGAAGGAGTATGGTGGGTCTGAGGGTCATAAAAGGTAGCTTGTTGGGTGTGATCCAGGTGTCACCTTCTGAGCAAAGGATGCTTAGTGATGTAGAAGAAAAAAAGGTGTGATGCCTTATACATACGCAATGAAACGAAAGGTGCTGTTCCAGTGTTCAAACAACTTGGTGAAGGGAGGCTATAAGGCGGCAAAGTGCTCCGTCAGTTTGGGCCGCTCAGGCCCCAACAGAAGGGACTCAGATAGATCTCATGTGTCACCACAACCTCCACCGATCCCCCTCCTGTCTCCACTCCGTGCCTCCACCGGGCTTATGGGCCGCGTGCGTTCGAAGCATGGCACCTCGAGAGATGATGGGCAGTGCTAAGAACAGGGACCACGCGTGTAGCGGCAAAGCCCAGGTTCACGAGTGCGGCGAACAGGAACGAAACCATCGCCGCGCACGGCGAAACCGCGCACGGACGTCGTAGCTGTTTGGACAATGCCCGCCCCTCGCAGTTACTCTGGCCCTTCCCTCCCTCACCGGTGAGGGCTAAAACCATCGGAAGCCCGCCTCTTTCACAGAGCATTCCTGATTGCCCATGTGCACGGCAAAAGTTCTGTACCACCCAATGGGTGTTCAGGGCAAGAAGAACCCCCCCAAGTGCTAGATGGAAGTGGATGTTGATGAGCACAACCACAGCCACGGAAACCTGGGCTTCAGAGTGGATGTGGTTGCTTTTGCTGCTACCTAAGGTTCTGCTAGCAGCATTTGCCAAACATTGTGACTTGTTTGCTGGAAAACGTGGTCCCTCTGAAGACGCTCATCCAGAACATCATGTGAGGTGGCTGGGTAGGGCTGGGTAGGGTAGGGTGTCTGCTGGTTCGATTGAGCTTGTTCGCATGAAGCGGGCTTGATGAGGTTTGTGCAGCTTGTCTCCACATGAACTGCCTCATCTAGGGGCATCTGCCAAAGCCGAAACAGCCACAGCGGAAGGGCAAGGGAGAGGGCACTCAAAGCGAAACACCTACAAATGCAATCAAAACATAAAAGCTTACATGAGACCTTGTTGACTTTTGCTTTGTTGAATCTCAGTGGTCCAAGACTCTCTGGCTTGATGGGGATGGCATCTTGGACTCACACTTGCCAGTGAAGGTAAATATTGTCCTATACATCAAACACCCTCCGCTACAACTTTGGGCATCACGAATGTGGAAACCCAATGACTCACCCAGTTCCGGCAAATCCAGCTGCCAAACAAGCTTCAAGGGGTAATGTATATAATATTATGTAATCAAAGCCAGTCAACCGCCGTCATAGCCATGCGTAGCCCAGTTGCCTTGCCACTACTTCCTTGGATAGGTTTGAATCCTGGTGGGCCACCGCTGAGTTCCTCGCTCGTCGATGGGTTGCTGGTGTTATACACCTGGGACTCGGTGATGCCCGATTGCTTGCCAATGTCGGTCTCTCGGTTCACCGAGAACTTCCTGACTTGAACCTTAACCTCTGGGTTTGAGTCCGGTTTGAGTCAGTTCCCTTCTTCCAGCGGCTTTGCACGGGGTCATGCAAGGGGGGCGCCAGGAACTTTGGAGTTCGGGTGGTGTCTTGACCTGCAAGATGGCGAACAGCCTCGAATCCATGAAACCCCAATCCAAAAGCCAACAGCCATGTGCATTGCTCATTTGGGACTGTCTGCCTGTCTCTGAAACAGGAAGCTCCCCCTGAAGCTGCGAGGCGAACTCAATCTAGTGTGAGCTACTCTTTCTTTTAGTTGCACTGTCTCGATTGATAGAACTCCCTATATCATATCATGGATGACTGGGTGACTGAAGACCAAAAGATCCAAATGTTAGTAACAACAAGTAATTAAACTGAGAACCATCACCTCGCTACCCTTCTCTGCCAAAACCTATCCCCTTCCCTGGCCGTGGGGTGCCTCGGCAAGTGCTGGTGCAACTCGGTGTTGGTGACCAGGAGTAGGAGGTCTCCGGCACGGACCGTTCGGTCGCCAAATCGAACACGGCACGCACCACAGAAACCACCGCGCGTGGAGA